ACGCTTTTGAAGTTTCCCTTGTCCTCTGGCTGCTCCTTTGCCAGCTTCTCTACCCGCCCTGACTCAGGACTTGTCCCTCAGCCTCTTCTTCCTGTTCTGTCTCTTCCCAGATGGTCTCGCCCTCTCCTGCAGCTTCCCTTATCAACAACTCGTGAATCTTTGCTCTCTAGCCCTGATCTCTCCTCTGAGCTTCAGGCTCGTGTTGCCACTGCTTCCTGGACACTCCCTGTGGATGTCATGTGAATGTCTTAAAGTCAGTTTGTCCCAAATACAACTCATTCCATCCCTCCAAAACTGCATTTCCTTCTCCCAGGCTCACCTTGGGTAAGAGCACAAATGGGAGGCCCACATACCATATCTCAAAATAGGTAAAAGTTACCAGTCAAGCTAACAAGCTGTTGAATTATGTTCTGTGTTCTCACCTGACAAATAAACCTTTGTAACAACCTGGAAGGTCAGGTTTGAATTTAGGATTCTTGTACTTTCTGGAGTTTCTGTGCCAGAATGTGGTGGCTTGGCAAGAGCTGGCCCCTGACCCTCATCCTGCATCCCTTCTCTTCCCGCCTGGGCTTGGTCCTGCGCTGCGAGGGGCCTGGCACACACGCTTGTGAGCACCTACAAGCCCAAGCTGTGTTTCCTCCCATGTTCCTCCTAAATGGGATGGGCCAGAGCTCTGGACTGGAGGGGTTAGGAGGTAGCGCTGTGTACAAGAGTACAAGGGAAGGGAAGGGTGGGCCCAGAAAGAGGAACTGAAGATTGAGTTCAGGAGAGCAAACTGACTTGAATAAGAGCCTGATGAGGAAGGTAAGTCACAAGGAAAGGGCTGGGGAACAGACAGGGTGAGGACGTGGCCAGAGAAAGATCCCCTGAGGCAACTGCAGGGATCTGTCATGGCTGGGCTGGGGCTGGAGAGTCTGCAGTCTCAGGGAGTTTGCCACCTCAGCAGACACCTGTGCAGCAGACACATTCACACTCTCTCTTTTTCATCCCTCACATCCAGGCAGTTAGTTTTCTAACTAAATAGCTTGATTTCTCTCCACCGCTGGTTCACACCATCATCTCCCACCTGGATGGCTGCAAGACCCTCAGTCTAACCCATCTCCCTGCCTCACTCTTGTCTCTCCTGAATCCATTTTCCCCACAGCAGCTGGAGTGAAGCACAAACATGATTACTTCCTGTTAGAAACTACCAGTGTCTGCTTATTGTCTTTAGGAGCAAGTCAAAGCTCCTCCACACGTCATTTGCGGTCCTTGGCAATCTGAGCCCTGCTGACCTCTTCAGCTGCATTGTTCACCTCTCACTGGCCCCAACACACACAAACACACCACACACACACACTCAAATACAAACATCACACACATACCCCACATATACTGATACACATTCACGCACTATCATACGCACAACTCACAAAACACATCACACATACTGCACTCTCACATGCTCATACCACACATATTCACGCACATAGCCACACACATTTTCTGATACACAATATATTCTCAAAGTACTCATACCACATACTCGTACATATTCTCACATACACACATACCACACACTCCAGTCATTTACACACCCACACCACAGATTCCATACATATACCACCCAATCCACACACACATATCACACTACACACTACACACAGGCCACATACACTTGCACACCACATTCACGTGCTCACACCCCCCCCTTGCTAATGCCTCTGAGACAACAGACAGGTGATTCACGTCACACATGCTCACACACCCCACTCCACGCCCACACCCATACACTTTCACACACCCACCACACACTCACCACACACATAAACAGCCTGGGCTTTAGCCACACTGATCTAGTTCTCATTCCTGCTACCCCCAGGTCCAGGCCTTTGCACGAGCTGCTCCTTCTCCTGGAATGCCCCCTCCCCTTCGCCACCAGCTGTCTGGGCTCACCTCGTTCAGAGCCTTTCCTAACTCCCTGAGCTTGACTCTTCAGGAGGTGGAAGACAAGAAGTGGCGCAGGGATGTTCTTAAGAGTCAAACCGAAAATGAGCAGGCTTGCTTGGTTAGCCTGGGAGTAGGAAACCAGAGTCTGGGTTCTTAAACTGTGAGCTTTCTTAACCGTTGTGCCTCCCCACAAGTAGTATTTTTGTCACACTGTCTGTTGTCTCCAAGTCAGTAGCAATATAACTTTTCAAAGGAGAGGAACCTGTATGCTTGTGGTCAGCAAGAGGGGGCTGTGCAGACAGGCCCCATGCCACAGCCAGGTTGCATGGCAGGGAACCCAGTGAGTAGGGAGTCGAGGGAGGCAGCTTTCAAGAGTAAAGGGAAGACAGCTTTGAGCTGGAAGTAGGTCAGCGGGGGAAGGAGCAAGGACCTGGGGGGTTAGTGTCCTAATGGAGAGGCCCAGTTCTTAATCAGAAACGTGTCTAGTTGGGAGTGAGCTAAGTTCCAGGGACTCATTAGGCCTGCAGATCCTCTGAGGTGATCTCGCTTCTAGTGTAAGGTTGAAGCCCATGGTGGGCAGGCTGCCTGGGAGTGGAGGGCAGGGCCTGAGCCAGCCTGGGAGCAGCAGCAATTAAGTTGAGCCGGCAAGTGGACGGCTCGGCTGCAGGTGCTCTTGGAACTCAGAAAAAGGAGGGCTATCAGTCCCAAATGCCGTGCAGAGGTTGAGAAGGATGTGGCACCTGGGAAGCCACCTGTGACTTTCTAGAACAGCAGAGTGTCAGGGTCCACTTCCAAGCTGTACAGGCTTAAGTGGCAGGGCTGAAAGAGCAGAGTCCTCCTCTCGGGGAAGGAGGATGTTTTCGGGCCTGACTGTGGACAGAGGTGGGTGGCCAGCAGGGAGGACGAAGTGCAGGGCCTGTGACGGGGCAGGTCACTGCAGGGGTGGCTGGGCTCTGAGCGCGCATGGAGAAGTCTGCCTTGGAGAAGGGAGCACATAGCCTTCTCCAGGACAAGAAGGACAGCATAGGGAGGGGGAGAAATGTGGATGTAACAACCGCCGTTTGTCACCTCCTCACCCTGTGTAACCTTCACCAACACACTGACAGCCTCTGATTCCTATTGCCACACATAGGACCTTACCACCACTAGAAATTCCCCTCTCATATCTTCCTTGCCAACCACTTTCTGCCCACAGCTTTCCATTCTTCCGGCACCTCACCTTATCCTGTCACCACACTCTGCTGTGCAGCCTCTCCGGGCTCCTGGCCGCTGAGCACCCTCCTGGCTCAGTGCGTATGCCCCAGGCCTAACCCTGCACATCTTCACTTCACCTGCTTTTCTGCGAATACCTGTAACTTCTTTGCCCATTCTACTGTCTCACCCTACTCTGTAAATCCTCTCCAGCCCCAGGGCTCTGTCGAACACTGATTCCCAAACCTCAAGCTTCAGTCTCTGTTTCTTCTCGGCTTCTAGACGGGTTGTCAATTGCCTATTGGCCATCTCTAAGTGGAGAGTAATGGGGGAGAGAAGTGGGGGGACTAAGGGTGAGGGATGGAGGAGAGGGGTGGGGAGGCTGGGGGTGAGTGACGTATTGGACCCAGTAGGGCAGCATATTTGGATTCTGGAGCTGGGGAAATTCTCAGTCTATGGAGCTGCTTGGGAGTTTAGCCAAGGGGAGCATTGCGGGCAGGGGCTCCTACCATCAGGTGGGTGGAACTGGTGCCTAGTTTTGTCTTTTCATCCTGATGGTCCTGTGTCACCCTCCCGTCATGGTGGGGCCACCTTCCCATAAGTTTGTTACTATCTGTGCCCCTCTCTGCATGACTCCCCAAGACCCCACCACACAGAATTTCTCCTCTTTGTTGCAGCCTCACCCTTCCCTCCCCAATCTTCTTGAACTCAGGCCTCTTACGGTTACCCTGGCATTGAGAAGCGCCAGCCGCTGCCTCGCCAAGCCCGCTGCTGAACCCGCTGATGCCCAGGCCACCCGCCTGCGTCTTGATTGCCGACTTGAGCTCGTGATTCTCCCGAATGAGCCGCACCAGCTTCTTCAGTTCCTCATTTTCCCGCACCAGCCTCTCTATCTGATGCCGAAGCCCCTCATAATTGGTGAGTAAAGACATGCCCCAGGGCAGCAGGAAGGGTGCAGCCCACGGGAGGGCACTGCACCTGGAGGCTGCCCAGGGCCCCGGGCCTTGCCCGGGCTGGAGAAGGGCCCCAGAGTTTGCAAGTGGCAAGGCTGGCCCAGTGGGCTCTGGGTATTGTGAGGTCAGAGGCTATGCCCTCCTCCTTGCCCTCTCTGCTCTAACAGGCTCAGCTCTCCATGCCTCCAGGCCTGTGGACAGGCCCTGCCTCAGCCTGGAATGTACTGGCCCCTTCTCTGTTTGGCCAACTTCCCTGTCAAGGTGCCTCCTCTCTGAAGCTTCCCTTCATCCTTGGCAAGCTGATCACTGCTCTCTAGTCCTCCCCCGCAGACCTTTGCTCTGTCAGCATTCACCTGGCTCCGTGCAGTTTTTAGCTCTTTAACGTTGTTTTGTTCACTTTCCATTGAGGGCAGGGACTGTGTGATGCCCCAGCATCCAGCAGAGGGCCTGGTGCAGTACAAGGAGGTAACCAGGGAATATCTGTTGAATGGAAACTCATCACTCACCTTCCTGGCCAGGGTGCCTTTGCCATGGGATCTTGGTCACACCTGGATTTAGCCTGTCAGCCTTCTCCTGGGGACATTCTCTCTTGAACACTTGGATACTGGACCACAATTTCTTCCAACCCTATGTGCTCAGAGCCTTTCTCTAACTACTGGCCCCGGGGCTCCCTTGTCCTAGCACCTGGCTCACTATAGCTTAGAGTTTCTATTTTTGGTGACTCAGGTCCCCTATTCCAAATCCCCTGGCAGTGCCCCCTCTGTGCCCACACCTCTATTCTCCGGCTCCTTGAATTTTCCTGACTGTAGTCCTTCAAGAACCCAAGACTGCATTCCTCTCATCAGGTTCCGAGAACTCAGATCTCTGAGTTCTTATCGTGTTCCCTTTTTTTAGAGTTATCTACTCAGAGAACTTTTTCAACCTGACCTTGGGAGTTGAGGGAGGCCGTGTCCTCGTGACCTCCACTGGTTCTGCAGGCGTCTGCTCTCAAACAGGAGGTGTAAGTCAGAGGGCACACTCCTGGTAGGAGGGTGGGGGGTGGGGGGCGTGGATGGGGTTGAAGATCAGCCAGGGCTGGGGTCAGTGCGGGCTGAGCATTCCACCTGGACCTCACAATGGGGGCCTGCCCCCACCCTCCTTTCATGCCCTGACTATAGGCCTGGTTGAGTCACTCTGGCCCTGGGACCAGGGCTGAGATCTCTTCAGTGGAGCAGATCTCTCTACACCCTCTGCTCTTTATAGAACACTCTTGCCGGGCTTTCCTCCAGCACATGAAAATAAGCTTATCACTGCCTTCTCAGTCCTCTCCCACCATCTAGTCTTGCCCCACCGTTGGCCTCTTCTTGGGTTGATGCCGTCTTCGTCATCTGTGATTGTTAAATTTTGTGTGTCAGCTTGGCTAGGCTATGGTGCCCAAGAATTTGGTCAAACGCTAGTGCAGACACTTGTCAAATGCTAGTGTAGACACTTGCTGTGAAAGTATTTTGCAGATGTGATTAACATCCACAATCAGTTGACTTTAAGGAGATTACCCTCAATCACGTGGGTAGGCTTCATCCAACCAGTTGAAGGCCTTACAAGTAGAAAACTGAGGTTTTCCAGGGAAGAAGGAATTCTGCCTCAACACTGTCCCAGAAATTCTGCCTGAATTTCCAACCTGCTGGCCTGCTCTACAGATTTCAGGCTTGCCAGCCAGCACAGTTGTATGAGCCAATTCCTTAAAATAAATCTCTTAATATAGACGAACTCTGACTGATACACCATCTCTGTTTCCTTTTGTACTCAGTGCTTCTCTCCTCCAAAAAATATATATTGAGCACCAAGTGTGTGGCAGGCGTTGTGTTAGGAATCGGGCGTTCAGTGCTAGTCATAATCAGGCATTGTCCCTGCCTGATGGCCTTAGGCTACACTGGGGAGCAGCTGTGAATCGAATAATCTCACGTCAACGTCCGTTACCACTGTGATGACTGCTCCGGGTGGTGCTGGGAGAGGTCGTAGCGGGTGGGTTAGACCCAGCCAGCGTGGGGCGGGCTCCTTGAGGAAGTGATGACTGAGACGATGTGGAGGAGGAGGGTCCCGCGCAGGGACTGGGGGGCGGTGTGCTCCACCGAAGGAACTGGACAAGGGTGGCTTGTGTGATAGAGGAGGAGAGGGGACGTACGTACTGGAGAAGGACAGAGGGCCTCGGCTGTGATAGGGCCTTGTGGCCGTGGGACTGATGTCGGTCTTCATCCTAAGGGCCTTGGGAAGCCCTTGAAGGGCTTTAAGGAAGAGGGTGTGGGAATGGATTGGAGGTGAAAGAGCCACTGGGTGGAGCACAGTAAGGAGGCCACTGCAGTCATCCAAGCAAGTGACGAAGGTGGCGGAGACGTGGGCGGTGCCATGGAGGCGGAGAGAAATGGGCAAAGTGGAGAAAAGTTTAGCGATGATGGGATGGACTGGTCTGCATGGGTGAGAGCCAGGGTAGCCTCACAGTTTCTGGTGTGGGTTCTGGAGCTGCGGGTTACACCAGCCCAGTACGGGGGAAGACCAAGTTTAGAGGGAAGATCCTGAGTCAGGTTTGGATGTGCTGATGAGATCGGGCGCCACTGAGGCCTCCAAGAAGTTATGTTCGAGAGGCAGTGGTTAATGCGCTAGGTCCCAGAGGAGAACCTGCTGTGTGGGCTGGAAAGATACATTTTGGAGTCATCAGCTTCTAGATGGCAAATGAAGCTATACGAGTGGATGAAGTCACCCCGTAATCAGTAATGAATGAGAGACAATAGGCTTCAGGCCACCGTGCCTTGAAGACCAGGACAAGCCTGCAAAGGACATAGAGCAGGAACGACCACAGGGACAGGAGGAAGCCTGAGAAGGCTGAGCCGGCGCAGCCGCAGGCAGATGATAATTCAAGGCTACAACGCCATCGATTGCTCCTGAAAGGGCAGATGAGATGAAGACTGGAAAGTGTGCATCGGCGGTAGGGACTTGGACGTCTTTAGTGACTTAGTGAGGGCTGTTTGGGTGGAGTGATTTGGCTGATGCCAGAATCATGAGTCTGAGAAGTAAGCAGGGAGGTAAAGAGGAGATGGGGGCACACGCAGCTCTTCCGTGAAGTCTGGCTGTGCAGAGGAGTGTGGGCGGGGCTGCAGGTCCCCATCCCCTTCCTCCTTTTGCCAGGGCGGACTGTGCCCTCTACTGTGTGGTGCCTGGTCACCACGCCTCTGCTGCCTCCAGCCTCTTCTTAGAGCTGCAGCGTGCAGTAGAGACCCCAGAGACCCCCGGAATGTTGAGCTGCAGCCTCCTGCTCCCTTCTTTGTATTCCTCTTTTCTAGGCTTCCTCTGGGCTTCCTCTTACTTCCTCTTCATTCTAATTTTCTTATCATATTTTTTGTTATTTCACGTATACAAGTGTCCTTTGGTATCCAAATCTATTGGGTTTGAGTTTGGGATAGAGAGTAGCAAAAGGTTGGAGAGCAAGGGATTCATCCAAAAATTTGTCCGCACTGATTTGGATCATGTGTTCGTGGGGCGGGGTCTGGGGGGGGAGAGAGCGGGCCGGCCTTCGCTGTCTTCTGTCCAGCTCTTCTGTCTGAGCCCTTGGACAGTGTCACTTTGGAAGGGCCCAACAGTTCCTGACTGCAGGGAGGCGGGGCCTGCAGGAGTGACAGGAAGCTCCTGGCGTCACTCAGGGTGTGCGTTCCTCATGGGCTCATTAGGAATTCACTGCAAACAGAGCTCCAGTGTCTTCCCACTTACGCTGAGTCGCATCTCCCCTCTTCTGCTCTTGGGTCACTGGCTTTTGCACAGTTTGTCCCCATTTAAATTTGCCTCATTAGATTTAGCTCAGCGTGCCAGCTGGGCGAGGCCTTCAGGGATCTTTGCTCCCGTCTTGGCATGGGATTCTTTGTAGGTTTAACAAGCTTCCTTATAAAGCTATTGTCTCAAGTTGTCAAGTTACTGAAGAACAGGACCTTTGGCCAGGAGCCGTCTGTCCACACCCACTTCCACCTCCTGTGTACACGGACAGGCTGTAGTGTCCTGCCCACAAGGGGTGTGCTGGGAGGCGCCTCCTGGGAAGTAGCCATACTGCACGTGGCCGATGCACGTCCTAGCAATACCGGCCACGTGATCACTTCCATCCTGCCTGCTATGGCCTGTTTGTAACCTCAGGGTTGGCAGGCATGTGGTCACATCCTGTTGTGACAAGGAGCTCTGGGGAAGGATTTGCCCAGTCTGCACTCCCACAGATTCAGCTGACACTTGACTGCCAGTGCCCTCCTAGACATCAGTGGTGACTCATTCCTTCCCCTCTCCTTCACTTGAGATAGTGAAAGGGCCATGGCTAACATTTTTTGAGTGCTTACTGTATACCAGACCCTGTTGTAACAGTCCTAATACCCCCTGCCCCAGGCAGATAGTGTGAATACCACCCCTCCTCAAGGTGAGGGCACTGAGGCACAGCTGGGCTCTCTCCCAGGTCCCCACAACCAGTCCATTCCTCCTACACTTTCCGAGCTGTCGAGATTGGGGCCTGGTGCAGGCAGCCTAGTCTGTGGCCTGTTCTTCCTGCCTCATCTCTTCTGCTGTGGCCTCATCTCTTCTGCTGTGGCCTCTCTCTGCACAGCTGCCAAGGGGGGTCACCCCATTGGATGGAGGCTCTGCCCAGAGAGAAGCCTCAGGGTGATGTCCCAGGAGAGGACAAGGGCCACAGCATATTGCTCTGCATTCCAGAGCCCCAGACAAGCCCTGGCACACAGTGGGTGCTCAATAAAGTTATAAATGTGCTTTTGTTCAACCATTTTTCTTTTTTGTAAGAGAATTCCCGCCATGAAGCTGGAGAAGATGTGTTGGCCGGCAGTAGAAACAGGCCAGGTGCTAATTGGCCTTTGGAGTGTCTGAGGATGTGCCCCTGGGTTTCTGAGGGAGCCAGTTGTCCCTTCAATGAGTCTGGAGTGCTGTGGGAAGGCAGGTGGCCCCGGGGAGGGCAGGGGCATCTGCTCGTCTACTCGGGGCCCTGCCAGCCAGAGCCAGGAAGAGAGGCCTCAGAGGAAAGACTCTCCAGATCTTGGCTAGAGCCAGAGTCTTCTGGGAGTGTGACCTTGTCACCAGCCCCAGGGGTCAGCCAGTCAGCCCTCAGGAAGGGCTCAGGGACTAGAGGCCGGTGGGGAGGCTGGGAGGGCTCTGTCAGGCTCTGGAGCCTTGGCAACTTCTCCACGTTCTTAGTTCCTGTCTGCTTTTTGCAAAGCATGGTTTGGAGGGTAGCAAGGAGGGAGAGAGCCAGGGAGACCGGCGTGCATGCTAGGAGTGGAGAACTGTGACGGGTAGAGTGGTTGGCCCCTGGAGAGGGGCATGGGCTGAGGGCCGGGGCTGCTGGAGGCGTGTGGTTGGGTTTCTAGACCCTCAGGCTCCAAAGGCCCAACCTCAGACTCATGTCACCCCCAACCCTGACCCGCGGTTGATTCCTGCTCCTTCAGAGCTCAGCTCAGGAGCCACCCCGAGGGGCCCCCTTCAGCAGCATCAGAGTACTTACACAGCCCGCTTCCGGCTTTGTCACATGGGCCTGGGGCAGGCCTCGACCCTGTGAGTCTGCTTCTTCATCTGTCGAGTAGGGCACTCACGCTTCTTCCTCCTCCTATCCTGGTGAGCTCAGATGAAGTACGTGTGTTAAGCAGCAAGGGCAATGTCTGGCACCGAGGGAGAGCTACATGCATGTTCTCATGAGCCCGCAGGTCTTGAAAGCCTACCAGGCACCAGGTGCCATGGTGGGTCCTGGAGGACAGCGGGAACAAGCAGGGAGCCCCTGCTCTCTCTGGCTCTATTTATATGCGCAGGAGCTGCCCAGTGCTGGGCAGGCTGGAAGCTGTCGGGGGACGGGAGCACCAGGCTCCCCAGCCCCCGTTCCGTGCCCTGAGGGCAGTCACAAAGTCTGGGCAGGGGAGACAGAGGGCACAGAGGTTGGGGGGGCCTGGGATCTGACAGGCCTGAGTGGAGCTCCCCACACTGCCAGTTACAGCCAGCTGACGGAAGACTGCACAACCCTCTGCATGCCTCAGCTTCCTTCTCTTCAGCGTGGGGTGGCCATGCCGTCTCGTGGCTACTGTGAGGGCTGTGTGCTTGGTCGTTTGCTCCAGAGCAGGGGTCCACCACCATCTCTCACCAGCCCTGCTGCCACGGAGCTGACATCCTGGCAGGACGACATGCACACAATAGATACAGGGATGATAGGGTGGTGGTGCTACGTGCCATGGGGAGGAGTGATGTAGGAGGAGGGGAGAGTAGGGGGAACGTTCTTTAGTGCAGAGTGGTCGGGAGGCCCTCCCTAACAAGGCGATGCTTAGGAGGAGACTTGAAATAAGGGAGGGAACAGGAAATGAGGCCGTTTGGGGCAAAGCCTTCCAGACAGAGGGGACAGTCAGTGCAAAGGCCCTGGGGCATGAGAGCAGGCTTGGTGCAGTTTTGAAGACTATCAAGGAGACCTGTGAGATGGAGTGGAATTCCACAGAGAGAGAGGGGGGATCTGAGGCAGAGAGGCAGGGGATGGGGTTTGTGGCTGAGATAGGGACTTTGGGTTTTACATCCAGTGAGATGGTAAGGCTTGGAGGGTTTTGAGTAGAGGAAGGAGACACTCTTTTCTAAAGATCTGTCCTAATTTTTAATGACCGGCTCATATGCTTATATGATCTGTGAGCCCAGGGCTGCAGGACAGTGTAGTCTCCGTTGGGTCCCTTGAGTCGACTGGCAGCACTTCAGAGGCTCTCAGTGAATCCTTGCGGAGCAAGCACGTGGACCCTGCCCGTTCCTGCCCTTTCCCTTGTTCCCTCAGCCTGCGGGGAAAGTCCAGACCTCCCTGCTTGCCACGCTCATCTCCTGCGCCCTCACAGCTCATGTGGACTTTGTGCCTTTGTGGATGCCGACCCCTCCCCTAGACATTTCCCTATTCCTCACATGTCTCCTTCGAGCCGGGCGCTGTGCCCACCCCACGTGCCACGTGAGCCCCCGGCCCCAGTTCATGCCTCCCCCCTGCTCTGGGACACCTGAGCCTGACCTGGTGCCTCTGTATCAGACCCTTACTGGCCCTGCAGCCAAAGGCCGACCAGGTTCCTGAGTGGATGAGTGAGTCAGCCCTCAGCTCAGCCCTGTCGGAACAGACCCTTCAAAAGGAAGTGTCATCAGGAATCTCCTCAAACACTCAGGGAAGCAGCAGGCGATCGAGGGGCCTGATTTCAGGCTCGCATCTGGCGGGTGACGTTTAAATCCTAGCTCGCCTTCTGCTGGCTGGGTGGGACTGGGAATGGGGGTTCACTGCAGGCTGGGCCAGCTCATTTGTGGAGTGGGGATAATAACACCCACCCTCGGTTTGTCTTAAGGGTCAGAGGACAGCTAAGGCTAAGTGCTGAGGTCAGTGCTGCACGTGGTGCTCCACACTGGTCATGATGACTTCTGAGACTCGAGTCTTCATCTGCCTGTGCCCAGGGCTCACGGAGGGACTGCTGCAGTGGTGTGCAGGAGCCCTACAGTCGCAAGATCGGCAGATACACACTGGGTTGTCCTGAGAAGGTCACCAAGCCAAGTGCCAGATAGTGGGATTGGCGCAGGATTAGAGCCCAACCTGCAGGTGTTGGCCAACCATCTCTGCAGCCACACAGACCTCTGCACCCTTGGCCCAGAGGCTGCCCTGATGCCCACACCTGCACGTGAGCCCTCGGTGGAGGTCTGGGCTGTGAGCCTGGGGTCAGCTTATCCAGCCGGCTTGTCCCTTGCCTGGGCTCCAGCCAGATCTCAGTGGCAGGCTTGCCCCCTGAGGAAGTGTCACTTCTTCCCGTGACATTTTTGGCCAGCTCTGTCTGCCTGGTCCTAGGAATGCGTCTCTTCTCTTCTCCCTTCTCCAGCCAGATCAGAAGTAAAGACTTTCCCTAACCCAGTCTCCTTAGAATCTCCCATGGAGTCCTGGGTTTCCGACACAAGACCTTTCTAGATCTAAGCTCATTTGCTGGGTGGCAATGACGGACACCTGCTTAGGCCAGTCAGCACTCAGACCCCCGTGATGATCCTCTCTCTCCAGCATCTTCTGCCACAGCGTTTAGGCCGATGTCCCTTAGATGGGACACTTCTGATCCCAGAACCTTTCTCCAGCCTGTCTGGGTCCTTGGGCCTCAGCTTGAGGAATATTGTGCCACAATTCTAGGATGCAGATGAGTACCCTTATCTGGGGCGGTTGGGACTCTTAGTTTATCTGATTTTGAAAAACTAGTTACAGGAGGGAATGCCCCCAAAATACAGTTTTGCTATAATACTTGTTTTGAAAATGTGAATTTGTTTCAATGTGATTGACACTTTTGGGAACAATTTGAGCATGAGGCAAATTTCGTTTGTTTATGTGCAATTTTGTCCATGAGAAATGGTGGTGAAAACAGAAAGCAAAAACTGTGCCAGCTAAGCAGACCACAACCTGGAAATGCAGGAACTCATACACCGTGACACTGCCAGCTGCCTCAGCTGACCAAGCATCACTGCCCCACACCCAGTGTCACACTTCTCCATCCGATTTCAGACAACCCATTTCACAATAACCCACGAGTCCCAGCCTTCCCGCACCCGCTTTCACAAACTAGCCTCAGGTCTTCTTCAAGGTAAATGCCATATTTATTGCAGTCTTTTTGAATTCTTAACCATTTAACATATATAAAACTGTGCTATCATTTTAATTAAGTTCCTGTCACTTTTTAAATGTATCACTGATGAAGTTTTTGAGTGTTGCGTCTCTAGCGCCATTTTTCTCGCACGTCTTTTGGTTTTTACTGTGCTGGTCGGAGCCCACTCGACCTGCCACGTGCCTCTGGGTGATTATTTAACCTCCATGAACCAGAGTCTTCCCCCGTGAAACTGCACTCGTAATCCTGCCTCCCCCATCTGTTTATCTGTCTATTCAGCAACCAATGACTCAGGCAGGTCCCAGCTGTGTGCAGACGCATCAAAACCCTGGGCACACCGTGTGGACAGACAGGAGGGGGCCTGCTCCAGCAAAGTTGCATCAAGGGCAAGGGCTGCAAAGGCATTAGAGCAGGGTGATGGCAGAGAGGGGACAGGTGTGCAGGGAAGACTGCAGGGCCTCTGAGGGGACAGCCTGCTGAGAGCTGGGCATGAGGGGGCAGAGCAAAAGTCCTGAGGCAGGAACCAGTGTGTCGTGTGGAGGAAGAACAGAAGCCAGGGAAGAGGAGGCAGCCGTGAGGGAGGCTGGTGGTGTGCACAGGGGCCTGTACGCCGCGTGCACGCAGAGCAGGCTGGTTTGCAGGTCTGTGTGACATGGGGTACGTAAGCTCATGGGAAGTGCTCCATAGGCATCAGCTACTGTTTGGTCCTGTGCTGAGAGAGGAGGTGCTGGAACTGGGGAGAGTGGCGGAGGTGTGACGAGTGGGCAGAGTGGGTGAACAAGGCTGGCTGGCCATGCTGAGGCCCCTGAGGCATCATTGGGAGGACACCAGGCTGCCCTGCCCTGAGACTGTCCTCCCAGCCTTGGATGGTCTCAGGACAGGATGGCAAAGGCCCCTGAGAGGGGGCTACAAAGGAGTGTGAAGGCCCAGGGACATGTGGCATGGAGCAGGCCCTCTGCACATGGGGGAGGAAGGGCAGATTGAAGCCTTGGGGAACCTAGGAGGTGGAAGGAAAGGAAGGGGTGAGGGGTGTCCCTCAGCAGGTCTGTGGACTGTGTAGGAAGGACCTAGATAGAAGTGAGATGGGAGGACACCTGGAGATTTGCACCTGGCAGGACTGGAGGAGCAGGGTGAGAGGTGTGTGGCCTTGACCTCATTGGTGGGAGGGGGAGTGCCCCAAATGGTAAGATGCCTTAGCGGAAAGCTGGTCTAGTCCATTCCTGGAGCACATGGGCTAAGGGGGAGCCTTGGTTGGCATTGCTCTGGGAGCCTGCAAGTTAGGAGGTGAGCTCATTGGGGTGGAAGGAGGGTGAAATCCTGCAGGGGAAGTGCCTGCATGAGGGCCAGGAGTGGAGGAGCCGGAGAGGACACTGCACTCAGCCATGATGGCCATCGGCAGAGTAGCAAGTGAGGGCTGGGAAGGGACGAGTAAATGCCGAGACCAGCACTGAAATCGGGGAGAATGCAGCAAAAGAAGGTGAGCGGGGACTTGGCAGGTGAGACCTTCCAAGGAGCACGCTGGAGGGCACTGGGTGGGCAGAGGGAGAAGGGGACGGAAGACAGACAGATAACTTGGAGATGATGTTAGAAATGGCAACTTCAAGAGGAAGTCAGACTGCGGTTTGCTCAGAAGGAGATGTCTCACCCACCAACATGGCGGGGCGAGGTGGGAGGCACCTCCAGGCAGCTGGGTTGCTCTCCAAGGTCCCCAAGTCTCCTCTCAGACTCGGGTCTCAGTTCAATGGCTATTTATTGAGCACTGTTGTGTGTCAAGGGCTGGAGACACAAAATAAATAAGCTCACTATCTCCAGGGGACAAAGTGGCCAGAGCTATGACGGAATCACACACGGGGAGCTGTGAGCCCAGAGCAGGGCCCCTGGTCAGCCGGGGGAATGCCTTCCTGGGGATGCTCAGCTGAGTAGCATACAGAATAAGAGGCCCAGGGGAGGGCGCAAGGCTGTGGTGTGGCATTGAGTTTGAGGCAGAGGCTGGCGAGGAGAGCGGGTGGAGCTAGACCCCGGACGACCTTGACTGTGCCACCGCAGAAGCTCAGATTAGCCGCAGACCAAGGGCAGCTCTTGGAAGGCTTGAAGCTGGGAGTGCTGTCGTCAAGGTATGGTTTGTTCAAGACTGGAGGCGGACAGGCCAGTGACTCAGAGGCTCTTGCAGGGGTTCAGGTGGGAAGCAATGTGGGCCTCAACTAGGACAGTAGCGTTGGGAGTGGAAGGGAGAGTGCAAGAAGAAAACTACCATCTCTTTCATACAAGTTAAAAGCCAGATCCTGAAAGACTGGCATCAGTGAGCAAATCACCTGTGGGAGGGCTAATTCTTTCTCTTTGGGTGTCTTTTGGGTGCAGGCCTTGAGGGATCTCTCCCATTCCCACCCCTACCTCCATGTTGGACTGCCGTGTGCTCTTTAACATGCAAGGCAGTTCAATGAGGACTAGATTTATTGAGTACCACTCATGTGCCAAATGCCATACTAGGCATAGAGGTGGCAAAGGTGGTACCACAAACGTTACAGAGAATTACAATGAAGTGGGACACACAGATCAACAGACAGGCAGTGACCATACAGTGCCTGAGGGCTGTGACGGGGGAGCCGAGGCAAAGGGCATCTAGCCGTGCTGGGGGGTCAGGGGAGCGCTCCAGGGGAATGACTCCTGAAGATCTAATCAGTAAGAAGGAGCCGCCAGGTTAAAGGAACGTCGGGTGGGGACAGAGAGGGGAACATGCAAAGACCCGGAGTGGAGCGAGTTTGGGACAGCTGAAGTGTGCAGAGCAGGGACGTCTGCAGAGGCATATCCCACAGGGCCTCGAGGCTGTGTCAGAGAGTGTGACTTTATCCTGGTGGAAGGAGGGGGGCGGGGCAGTGGGTCTCACCCAAAGGCTGCACATTTGGAAACGTGTGTGGGCTTTTTTGACTGTCACAAGGACTGTGGGGTGTTAGTACCCAAAATGCTCAGCCCGCCTGCGCTGTGCTGGGCAGGCCAGCACCACATGTTCTGCCCAAATGCAAGAGTGTCCCTGCTGAGAAACATGACATCTTCAAGGCAGAGCCAACAAAGAGTATTTTAGTTTCCAAATATATTTTTTATTATCTTATTGTTAATTTTATTACCTTGTGATCAGAGAAAAAGATCATTATAATATTGTTGCAGGTAGCCATCAGTCCTTCATTTCGATTGCTGGACACTCTTCCATTCTGTGCGTGTACCACAATTTGCATATCCATAATCTTGTCTGTGGACATTTGGGTTGCTTATAGGTTTTTTGCCAATATGAACAATGACACAGTGAACATTCTTATGTATGTCTCCAGGCATACACGTGCAAAAGTTTATCTTGGACACAGCAAAGAGCAGAATTCTGGGTTATAGAAATGTAAGTTTTTAACTTCACAAGATAATGCCAAATTGATTGATTCATTAACTCGCTTACCAGCAATGTGTAAAGTACTCCTCTTCCTGTATATCTTCTACAACACTTCACGTTGTCAGATTGCTTAATTTTTTTCAGTTGAATGGATGTTATCTGGTATCTCATTGTGGTCTTGATTTCATTCAGTCATTCAACAAATATTTGTTGAGTGCTTATCCTGTGCCAGGCACTGCTTTAGGACTGGATTTGCATTCCCTTGATAATTTCTGAGGTTGAACATGTTGTCACTTGCTTCATGCCCATTTACACTTACTCTTCTGTGAAATACCCATTGCAGTGTCCACCAGGGAGTCTTCTTAATCTACTAAACATCCAGCCCCACCCACAAGATGACCAAAGGCTGCCCTAGGCACCCGTCTGCTCAGAAGGGCAGGAACTATCGCTGGCCATCAGCGGACTTCCACCTTCTTTTTCTGCAGGAATAATGGAGCGATGTATGTAGCCGTCAAGGCTACATCTTGGGACGTAGCTCATAGCTGACAGCTCACATGCAAGATGAGATCCATGTCGGGCAGGGCGAGAGTCGCCTTTGGCTTCCAGACTTCAGGCCTCACAGGAGCCACTATGTCTTGCGACAAGTCCACAGGCGTAGCTTCCGGGGGCCCCAAAAGGAACATGCCTCATTTCATGAGTCACTGTCCTCCAGGAAGCTCAGAGTATGGCCTCCTCTCAGACATTCATTGTTCGTTTATAGTTCCTGTCCACATGCAGCTTACCAAGAGGAGTAATTGTTACATAGGCAGTGTTGCCTAGTTAAATCATTGACATTCTACCTTTACCTGGTTACCAGGGGAACAAAGCCAGAGAGTTAACCAAAGGTCAAATTCGCAAGCAGAAGAGGAAAGGGTATTGTTAACCTTTTGCCCATATTACTTTTTTAAAAAGCAAGTTTACTGAGGTATAATACTCATGCCATAAAATGTACCCATTTTAAGTGAACAATTTGATGAGTTCTGACAAATCTACGTACCAAGTGACCACCACTACAACATAGTATAGAACATTTCTGTTACCCCCCAAAATTTCCTTGTGCCTTTTCCTAGCAAGCCTCACTTCCCACCTGTGGTCCTAATAGGTTAGTCTTTTCTGGAGTTTTAATCACACAGCATATATTTTTGTGTGTCTGGTTTCTTCTGTTTAGCTTCCTGTTTTTGAGATTCATCCATGTGATTGCATTATTAGTTCGTTCCTTTTTACGGCTAAGAATTATTCCATTATATGACTATATCTCCTTTGCTTCATCCACTCACCTGCTGATGGACATTTCAGTCATTTCCATTTTTGGCTATTACAAATAAAGTTGCTGTGAACATTTGTGTATAAATCTTTAGATAAAAGCCTAGGAGTGGAATTGCTGGATCATATGGTAAATATCAGTTTAACACTATAAGAAACTGCCAAGTTGTTTGCCAAAGTGTTTGTACCATTCTACTTTTCCACCAGCAGTAAATGAGAGTTCCAGTTGCTTTGCATCCCTGCCAGTATTTGCTATTGTAAGGCTTTTAATGTTAGCTATTCTAGTGAATGTAGAGTGGTATTTCGTTGTGGTTTTAATTTGCATTTTCTTGATGACTAATGATGTTGAAAACATTTGCATGTGCTTTTTGGCCATTTGTATATCTTCTTTTATGAGGTTCCTAAAATCTTTTGCCCTTTTTAAAAATTGAATGTCTTCTAATTATGAACTTGTGAAAGTACTAATATAGTCTGGATACAAATTCTTTGTCAAATACATGTATTGCAAATATTATCTCCCAGTTGTGGCTTTTAATTTCCTTCACAGTGTCTTTTGAAGAGCAAAAGCTTTTAACATTATCAAAGATTTTTTTAAGTCTGTGGTTTTTACATCCTATCTAAGAAATCTGCCTACTCTAGGGTCATGAAGATATTCACTTGTTTTTATCTCGAAGTTTTTATAATTTTAGCTTTCCATTTAGCTCTATGATCCATTTCAAGTTAATTTTTGTGTGTGATGTGAGGTATGGGTTGAAGTTCTTTTTTTTCTCTTTAATGTTGATAGCCAATTGTTCCATTACCATTTGTTTAAAGGAATATGTATAGGTCTATCTCTGGATTCTCTGTTCTGCTCCACTGATCTATATGTCTTTCCTTATGACACTATCACACTGCCTTGATTATTGTAGCTTTACAGTAAACCATTAAATCAGGTAGTGTAGGTCCTCCAACTTTGTTCTTTTTCAAAACTGTTTTGGCTTTTCTAAATCTTATGCGTTTCCATATAAATTTTAAGGTTTTGGTCAATTTCTTTTTTTTTTTTTAAGATTTTTTTATTTTTTCCTTTTTCCTCTCCAAAGCCGCCCGTACATAGTTGTATATTCTTGTACATAGTTGTATATTCTTCGTTGTGGGTCCTTCTAGTTGTGGCATGTGGGACGCTGCCTCAGCGTGGTTTGATGAGCAGTGCCATGTCCGCGCCCAGGATTCGAACCAACGAAACACTGGGCCGCCTGCAGTGGAGCGCGCGAACTTAACCACTCGGCCACGGGGCCAGCCCCAGGTTTTGGTCAATTTCTATAAAGAAGCCTACTGGGATTTTGATTGGGATTGTGTTGAATTTCTACATCAATTTGGAGAGAATTGAAATCTTAACACTATTGAGTTTTCTAATCCATGAACACGGTACATCTCTCTATTTAGGTATTTTAAAATCTCTCTCAGAAATGCTTTGTAGTTTTCAGTAGACATGCATTGCACATGTTTTGTTAAATTTATCACTTGCAGAAAGAGTTAGCATAGCTGGCCTGAGACTAGTATCCTTAGAAAGGTCTTCTTGCAAGGTTGGCCCTTGGTTGTCATCTGGGATGATTTCAGAAGGGTTCCCACAATCCCTAGAACTCATAAACTGATAAGAATGGCTCACTGTGCTAACCTGTTCAAACAACATGGCTTATGCTGACCTTCTGATTTCCTTCTGGGAGTCTAGAATTTTGGTACATGCTAGGCAGAGGGTGCCTATGTGACCAGCCCCCTATGAGAACCTCGAGTCTCTAATAAGCTTCCTTGATAGACAACATTTCACGCGTGTTGTCAAAACTCATCGCTCAAGGGGGCTGGCCCCATGGCCGAGTGGTTAAGTTCGCGCGCTCCGCTGCAGGCGGCCCAGTGTTTCGTTGGTTTGAATCCTGGGAGTGGACATGGCACTGCTCATGAGACCACGCTGAGGCAGCGTCCCACATGCCACAACTAGAAGAACCCACAATGAAGAATATACAACTATGTACCGGGGGGCTTTGGGGAGAAAAAGGAAATAATAAAATCTTTAAAAAAAAAAAAAAAAACTCATCGCTCAAGGAATCAAGTCCATCCTATGTGACTCCACAGGGAGAAGACTCTTGAAAACTTGCACCTGGGTTCCCTCAAATTTTGCCCCATGAGTCTTTTCCCTTTGCTGCCTTTGCTTTATATCCTTTCTCTGTCATACATCATAGCCATGAGCAGGAGGACATGCTGAGTCCTGGGAATCCTCCTGGTGAGTCGTCAAACCTGGGAGTGGGCTTAGGAGCCTCTGCCATAATCCCTAAGCATTTTATGATTTTTTGATGGATATATAGTTTTAAAATTTCATGTTCCTAGCAGTACAGAGTTACATGATTTTTTTTGTTGTTGACTTTGTATCCTATGACCTTGTCGAACTCATTTGTTAGTTCTAGTAGTTTTTTTGTAGATTTCTTAGGACTTTTTTATGTCATGACCATATTGTTATAAATAAACATGGCTTTTTTTCTTGCCCTATCACACTCACTAGGGCCTCCAGTACAATGTTTTTGAGAAAAGTTGGTCGCTATCTTTTGCTTTGGGGGTGGTATGCTCAGGAGCTCTTGGTGGGAGGGTCTGCTTCCTCTTCACCATCACCAGCTTCTGGCTGTGCAGTATGGCCCTGGCTCTGTGGATGGCGGCCATGCACAGATAAGGGTGGTACTTGTTGTTTCAGATCGTGTGCTGGATGCTGCTGAGAGTGTCCTGGACATTCTTATTGATGGTGGTCTGCATGTAGGAGGTGGCCAGCTTTTGCTAGTCACATCTCCGCTTCATGACCACCATGACACCTTTGCTGTTGGCCGCCGGCTCCACACCTGCCGTCTTGCAGTGAATGAGCCCACTGGAGCAGGAGGAGTTGAGGGCCTTCAGATTGTCGGGTTCAGTGCTGCACGTCTGCATGTTCCCCTTGATCAGGGAGCTGGAGCTGTTCTGCAAGACCATTCATTGCAGATGCACAGACATGACAGCAGGTACTCTCGCTGTGGTGGCTGGAAACAGAAAGGGCATCTATGTCCAAATTTCCCCTTTTTATAAGGACACAGTCATACTGGATTAGGGGCCCACTTTACTCCAGTACGATCTTATCTTAACTAATTACATGTGCAATGACTAATTTCCAAATAGGGTCACATTCTGAAGTCCTGGGTATTAGAACTTCAACATAGGAATTTGGTGGTGGGAGGGGGGGACGGGACAGGACGGGACACAATTCAACTCATAACGTTGGGCTCATAAAGTAAATTAGAGAATTTTATGAGGTCAGCATAACCTTTTTGTGTTACTTTTGGTAGATTGTGGGTTGATGTCAACTTGAAAAATAAAACAGGCAATTATTTTACCAGCAAAATGAGTTTATTCAGGAAAAAAACAAAGAATTGCAATTTGAGACCCACATTCTATAGCAAAAGCCAATGATCAAAGGAGAAGAATGTCATTTTATAGGAAAAAAGGAGGAAATTGGGAGAGGTTGTTTTGAACAAAAGTCCACAGGAGAAAAGCAAGAGTTCAGAGTGGTGATGGTTTCTCATTGGCTGAGTTGCTGGGGTAGTTGATTTCTGTTTGGGACACAACGTACGCTTCTTCTGGTTGGTGTCTGTAAGTGATGATTCTTCCTATTGATGACTTCTTTCTAGTGGGGTCTGTAATTGACTGTCTTTCTTGTAATTGACCTTGAGTGGTACTGTGTGAGAGCTCCTCCTTCCAGCCTCCAGAATCCATTTTAAATGGGTTTCCCTTTATTAATTTTCACATTCCTACCTTCTGATCAAGATCATTCTCTGAGAGTATCACTGATCGAGAGTCAGGATTTCTGCACTTAGTGGTCTTGTCCCTTGGTGCCGGGAAGGACCTTTCCTTCTCGTCATGATCCATGTTGGAGGGAGAGTGCATAGTGGTTGGAAACCATTTAGGCCACACTTGAGAAACCAGGAAGGTTAGGAGGGAGAACTCGCAGGCACTTCTTATTCAAAGTCTATAGTCATCCAAGGTCATAAGCATTGGAAATCATTTCAGATTGCTGTGCTAACGTCACCTCATGAGGTACGTCATGTTTACAAAGGTTTGACAGGCAATAAAATACAAAACTTAAAGTATTTATACAAGACAGAATTGAAAGTAACATGACAAATCCAAATTGTCTGATGGTTCCAAACTAGGAGGCCAAACCTGAAGGTAACCGGCTAAATAGAGGCTTAATGGGGTGAACCAGTGAGAGGCTTCTGATTTGTTATGAAGAGAAAACAGAACAGCAAATATGGTAAGAGCACACTCAAACTGAAAGAATTAACTGAGCGCATTGGGAAGACAGTGCAGGAATAAACATGAAGCAATAGCTGATGAACTCTTGCAAAAATTCAAAAAGACATATTAAAACAGTATTGTCATCTCGAAATAACTGTTTGGGAGTCAAATGCGTTATCCAGTAATACTGCCTGTAGGGTTGCAAATTCAGAGACCATGGATTTGGATAAGAGCTCAGAGACAGGTAACAGTTCAGATGAAAGAAAGACTTCTGTGAATGCTGAACTTTCTAACCCTTCAGAAAAAGAAAGCGAAAAGATTAATTTGTCGCAGGATCGTAAGGAGGCTGTTTCTGAAAGCCTATAATCGAAAGAAGAGGTTTCCCCCTTTTGTAAGGGATTGGGAAATGCAGACAAGGTCACCGTCCTTCCAGGAAGGGGAGAGAGAAAATAAAGTAAGAAACAACAGTGGGAAGAGGATATACAGGCCTGGTTTGGTCGTCTTGGGAAAGCTCTCTGCCTCAGATGTCAGCTACTTCTCCTCCTGGTCAATTTGACTTGAGGTCTCCAGTGTTTGTAAAGGACCAGATGTCAGGTGGAGCCTTCTTTAGCTGTGAGACGTGCAACCAAGGCTCAAGTCCCTGAAGATTGGCTGCCATACGGGTAGTGAGGTATAGTCCCTTCTAAGGAAATTTCAAGGGCAGTAAAGTTGGAAACATCAGTCTAGAGTATCATATACAGACATTTAAGGAAACTAGAAGAATTTCAGATCCAGTCCAGCTCATAGGTGTAACAAAACCTTAAAGACAATTAATAGGACTAAAAAGTTTAATATCTACAAAGGTACAAACATAATTTCTCTCTCTACAATTACCCCCATTTTTATTAAAGATAATTATAGTAAAACTAATTTGTTTTTATTAAAAACTTCAGCTGATTATTTTTATAAACACAACAAAAACTGTGATTGACCATAGAAGCTCCATAAGATTACTTTGCTGAAACCTTGTAAGCAAGGTACTAGGTTGCTTTTTCCAAGCAGTTCCTTAAAGTTGTCTGGTCATTTCTGAGTCTATGTACATCTCTCCTGAATATGACATTCTAGTCAAAGCCTTGGTAATGTAGCCAACATTTCCAATTGTGTCCCGTTACAAGGAGAATAGACCTGAACCCATGCAAATACATATATTGTCATGAAAAGAAAACTTAAGGGATTATGTAGAGAGAAAAAGACAAATGTTTCAACCTTGTTGCAAAGATACACTTTACCAGATTGCTGGGAGTTATAGGGAGCTTAAAGGAGAGGAGAAAAAGGGGTCCTTTCCATCTGGAAAGCAAAACATCAAAGCAATCAGTCCTCCACTGGAGTTCCAGAAATTCCCACCCAGTTCAATGTTATGATTTTAAAATTATTAAAACTTGGATTCCAGAGGACTTTTCAAAGTCTTTTCCATAAGTTTCTTTGAAAATGAAACATATTTATGAAAGCATCAGAGTAAAGCAACAACTGTCTATAACGGACAGAAGACTTGAAAATGCATTGAGCGAAGGCAATTGACAGGGAAATTTGGGTCTTGTTGTGACATAGTTTAGATAGTAACTAGAATTACAGGTAATAACATTACATTAGGACACATGAGATGTTTAGGCATTTTATACAATTTCTAGAATACTTTTTAGTAATATTCACCCATACAATATAATCTAAAAACATTTATTATCACTTATTCAAACATGCTTCTCATGTAATTTGACATATGAAATAAGCCTAATTAGTGTAATATCTCTTTTTTGATAAGGAGAGGGAATAAATCTTTTGAGATGTCTCAGGTGCCCTGTGGAAAATCCCTAAGTTATATCCAGGTTGAAAATACTTCATTTAGAATTTGAATATTTTGGGAAACTTGTCAAAAATATCAAAAGGTTTGGACACTTGACCAAACAGGTTCACAGATCATCATGAAATAATACTTAAGTATGTATTTGACCAAAGTAATAATAACATGTTTCAAAGGCAAATACAAAAGGTTATATGGTTGTAAGAAAAACTTAACTCCTTCAATACTAAGAAGACTCAGTTCTCTTAAGTAAAGACCTGATAGAAACAACACAGGAAATTATTTTGATAAATAAATAGTGCAATCTTTAAATGTGGCACAAGATATGATTACTAACAGACTAGAATTTAGTTTCTTTGCAATAGGGAGCCAAAAATAGATAAATCCATGTTCATTAATTAATGTTTTAGTATTTTATATTGTTTGGGAAATGATCCAGATATTCAATGAAATTTCATAATTTAATTTAATTTAGCAAAAACTTTAAAGTTTTAAGTTACCCAAAAAGATTTGGGGATGTTATTTCTAAGCACACATACCACAAAACATAATTATTGTACCTAAAAACTTTCATCCCATTTTCATCTATCAAAATAATTTGTTCCCAGGGGCTGGCCCTGTAGCTGAGTGGTTAAGTTCACGCGCTCTGCTTCAGGGGCCCAGGGTTTCACTGGTTTGGATCCTGGGCGCGGACATGGCACCGCTAATTAGGCCATGCTGAGGTGGCATCCCACATGCCACAACTAGAAGGACTCACAACTAAAAATATACAACCATGTACCCGGGGGCTTTGGGGAGAAAAAGAAAAAAAAAATCTTTACAAATAATAATAATAATTTGTTCCCAACAATTATGTCTAGATTACTCAAAAAACTTCATGAGATATTAGACAGCCATTATCTCAAGTGAATTTTCTTGTTGACAAATTTTGCAACAGAGATAATATGAGCTTATTTGACCGATAAACTCATGTAGAATAAAAGTATTATATTTAATGTTGATAGCTCTAAAGACATATCTGTTTCAATTAAACCAACAAACTTAAACTAGCTCTAATTTCAAACATTTTCCCAGATCATAGGAACCTGAAAAGCATTTTGGTTAGTTTCTATTATATTTCTGAGAATTTTTAGAAATCCTTAATTTAAATAAGCACTTGATTTTCCTTAAACCAAAATTAGGGGGCCAGACCCGTGGTCGAGTGGTTAAGTCCAGGCGCTCCGCCTCGGCGGCCCAGGGTTTCACTGGTTCGGATCCTGGGGGCGGACATGGCACCACTCATTGAGCCACGCTGAGGTGGCATCCCACGTGCCACAACTAGAAGGACCCACAACTGAAAATACACAACTATGTACCAGAGGGCTTTGGGGAGAAAAAGGAAAAAAAAAATCTTTAAAAAAAAAATGTAATTAATTTTGAAATACCCTTTGGAGGTAGAAAAATATCACACATGTACATAGACATACATAAGACATAGAAAGACACAGAGACCTTATAGCTTTTGTTTTAAGAATTTCAGCCACGTCTCAGGTACAAAGTTCAAAAGAATAGTTGATTCCAAATTGTGCTTCTGGAAGATGGACTAAGTTAAGGTTACTTGCTCAGATGGCCAAAGTTTCAGCACTAGATGCACAGAGGGAAGGAGGGAGATGGCGCCAGAGTGGGGCCTGAGCAGAAGACGAAGAAAACAGGGGAAGGGAAAGGGAAGCCTCAGAAGCCATTTTTGTCTTCCTTCAATGTTTTAGTTGTTTCAGCTAATTTAGATATAGTACCTTACAGAGAGGTGGTTTTAGAGTTTTGTGCCTGTTGGGAAGCTCCAGGTACAATTAAAATAAATGTACTGTTTGTTTTGCTTAATTTTAGAGCCGTAGTCTTCCTATTTGGTTTTAAGAAAAATGAGTTTGGGGAGATCGAAAGTTCCCCATTATGGCCATTGTAATTCCAGGCTATTCTTTGTCAGTTTGGCCCACTTAGTTAAAAACGCACATGCAGGGGGTCCAAAATTCTTAAACTTAATCCTGGCTGGGGCCCCTTAAGAAGGGCTGCCCTCAGGTCATTGAGATGACTGGGATCCCATTTCCCAGCTTCAAAAGCCCAAGTTGATTCCAGGAGGAAATCAAAACCAAAGAAAATCCAAAACCAAAAGAAAATCCCCGCTAGCTTGACCCCCAAAAGGAAAGTTGCTGCCACACACCTCAGAAGACAGACAAGCACTCGTTGGGGAAGACTCTAACCCTTCCCCCGAAAGGACAAAGTCTTTCTCTGTGAAGATGGAGCCTAGGATGAAACCTCCTGAAATGATGCTAACCCTTTTCCGAGAGGGAAAAACCCTCTCCCCTTTCTGAATAAAGTCAGACAGCTCAAATCACAAGAAAAGTGGAGCTCAGAATCTGACAGGAAACTCACCAAACCAAAAGTAGGCCGTGACTCACAGAAGCCATGAGCTCCAGGGGCCCAGAGCAGGTACCTCGCTCAATTCTGGGGCCCATCGTCTCTTGAGGGTCGCCTCCTTCAGATCCCACTTCTGACACCACGTATGTCAACCTGAAAAATAAAACAGCCAATTCTACCAGCAAAATGAGTTTATTCAGGAAAAAGCAAGGAATTGCAGTTCAGGACCCACAGGCTGTGGCAAAAGCCATAGGCAGGTCCAACAATCAAAGGAGAAGAACGTGATTTTACAGGGAAAAAGGAGGAAATTGGGAGGGGTTGTTTTGAACTAAAGTCCACTGGAGGAAAGCAAGACTTCAGAGTGGTGACGGTTTCTCATTGGCCGAGTTGCTGGGGTAGTTGATTTCTGTTTGGGATGCAACGTACATTTCTTCTTGTTGGGGTCTGTAATTGACCACCTTTCCTGCAAATGACCTCAGGTGGTACTGTGTGAGAGTGCTTCCTTTCTGGCCTCTTGACTTTATTTTAAATGAGGTTTCCCTTTATTAATTTTCACAGTGTCTTACAGGTTTTAAAATTTTTCAGGCATTATTTCTTCAGACATTACTTCTCCATTCTATCTTTCTTCTGGCACTCTACTTTTTTACTTTCCCTGTCACGTATCATATGCTTTTTTTTTCCTCTATCCATTCCTTTTTCTCTTTGTAAGTTTGCACAGCTTCTATTGACCTTTTGGTTCACTAACCCTTTCTTCTGACTTGTCTAATCTGCTTTTAAACCCATCTACTGAATTTTTAGTTTCAGTTAATTTATTTTTCCATTAAAGATGCTCAGTTTCTTTTTTATAGAATCCAATTCTCCTGGGAAATTCGCCATATTATCTTCCATGTATCTCCATTTCCTCCTGCCTTTTCCTTAACATATTAGTCATATTTATTTTAAAGTTTGTTTTTTTTTTGCTATCTCCAATCTTTTAGTCACCTCTAGGTCTGATTCTGTTATCTTATTTTTCCTCTTGGTTTTCAGTCATATAATCCTATCTTTTAAAGGGCCTAGATAACGTGCATTAAAAAAACTGCAGAGGTTCTGAATGGTGTTATCTTCTTCTGGAAAAAGTTCTCCTTGCTCTCTGCCAGGCAGAGAGAGTGGGGCTGATTACCTTCAACGATCAGGGCAGAGCTGAGTCGAGTAAGGGTTGTGATTTTGGTAAGGCTCCGTCCTTAACGCTCCCAGGTGGAGCCCTCCAGAGCTGGGGTCTTGCCAGGGCTCCTTCCCCTCGTGGGACCTGAACACTAATTCTTGTTTCCTCAGCACAACTTGTCTAAAATGCCATAGCTGCAATTCTTCCCTCACAGCTGAGGGTTTCTCTTCATGTTTATTTCTTGCATTCCTGCTTGGATATATATTTTAAGTTTAACAGTATTTTATCTAGAAATTTTATGTTTTAAGAGTGGGAACTGGGATCCCAGGTCAGTTTGGTCCACCATCTGGACTGGAAGTCCTCTGAAGGAGTTTAAGCAGGGGAGTGACATCATCCCTGTCTGCAGTGCTGAGGACAAGTTGGGATCTGCTGCAGACATGATCCTGGTCTTGACTCGAGAGAAGGGCATCGAGGTGAGAGGGGTTCAGAAGACAGAAGCTGAATGCCCAAGGGTCATGAGAGCAACTGGGGTAGAGAGGAGGATTTGGAGCCTGGCGCTAGAGTCCTCCCAGCGCCAGCAAGCTGCTGGATAACAGCAGAAAGCAGGCCGAAGTGGGATGGAGGAGAGTAGAGGGCACAGGCTGCTGCACAGGAGCCGAAAGGCTGGAAGTTGCAATGGCAAGGGAGGAGATGAGGATGATGTGAAGTGGGTCCAGAGGAGTGAGCACCCATGCGGACAAGAGACGCTCTTCCGTAGTGAGCATGGGAGTCAAGAAGTTGCAGTGTGTGGGTGGTAGTGGGGGGGGGGGTTGTTTGCATTTTGGACATTCTGAAAGGTCTCCAATGCCTGATAAGCCTGAGACAAAGAAGACATTCGAGAAACATAGAATGTTTTGGTGGCAGATGGGGCCGAGCCATCCTGCTGCCTGGGATGCAGCGTCTGGGCCCCGATGGGGAAGGGGCTGCCTTGGGAGCTGCAGTGCTGGGACCAGCTCCCCTCAATGCCCCCCAGTGCAGGCCCTTCCTGCCTGCAGCGTGACTATAGTCCTTGCTGATCTTCCTGCCTGTGCTCAAACCTCTTCCAGGCTCTTCCCTGGAAGGGTCCATGGTTCATCACTGCCTGCAGTATGGAGTTCATACTCCTTGACTTTCCCCCGACAGCTGTCCACACTGCCCTCACCACCCACAGCTCCCCCCGACCCCCTGCCATGCAGCATCTCTTTCTTCCACCTGCTTCCCCCAAATGTGCCTCCATACATTCCCCTGGGCTTTGAGTTTTGCCGCCTGCACTCCTGAAGTGCCTCACCGCTGATGTTGATGCCGAGCCAAAGTCCAGAAGGCTGCCACATTCTCTCTCCCTGGTCCTGGGACAGGCGGTGCTTGTGCGGCTTGTGTTAGATAAAGTTCATTCATTCATTCCATGGTTGACATGTATGGTGTGGCTGTCCCTGGACTAGGTGCTGGCCTGTGTGTTAAAACGCAACAGTCTCTGTTCTGAAGGCACTTCCAGGTCAGAGCCACTGAACGGTAGCCCTGGTTAGCCAGAAGGCAGGTGGCACAGGGCACTTGCGCTGGGTGTTAAGCGAGCTGGGGTCCTGTGCTGGCTTCTCTCTGTGGTTTTCAACAGGCACTGATGACAGTGACGCTTTCCACAGCAGGGAATGTGATGGAGACATGGACACTTCTTGTCATTTCATCTTGAAAACAAGCATGGGTTTAATGATTACTTATGTGAATAGACATTTTTGATTGAAGAATTAACTTTCTTTAGCCTTAGTATAGTTACTGTGTCAGCGCTCTCCAGCGGAAGCCCACTGGACACGTCTGCAGTCGAACAAGTCAGGCTTACTGCTTATCGTGGTGAGGGAGCCCACACGCCATGGGGAGCCACATGGAGTCACAGGAAGGGCGTGCTAGGAAGGACTTCCTATGGCATTTGGCTTGTTTGGGTGAATGGGGAAGGGCTTAAGGAAGCTGGGCTTTGCTCTGGATGCTGCCAGGAGGGGGAGGAATTCTGTGACAGTATCTCCACACATCTTCTCTGGAGGGAGGACAGACCAGAGGCGAGCTAGAGCTGTCAACTGTGAAGAGGCAGCAGCCGCTCAGAGAAGGCAGGACGGGGCACTGTTGGTCTTCTTTATGGTCTGGACAAAGCGCATGTTTTGTCTGTGTTCAGCCATGTTTACCGAGGGATCTTCTTGTCTTGACCCATCTCACTCACAGAGGAGCCTTGTCTGACGCTGGTGTTGTATGAAATCGTTTATATTCTAAGCAGGAGAACACCAGGGCCTAGCTGATGGGAGCAGGCAGCTCCTGGATGATGTGGGCTGTGTCCCTCCTCACCTGAAAAATCAGCGTGGCTGACCTCACAATTGCTGGGCTCCATTCAGCCTCGGGAATCAGTGTGAGCACCTGCTACACACTCCCCACCCAGTCAGAGCATAAGCTACCCCTTCTCCCTCCCTGGGTAGGAAGCAGCAGATGGCAGGCCAAGCTCCGTTGGTGGGAATGGCCCGCTGGATCCCTCTGTAGCACCGCAAGCTGCCTCCTGCCCCTGGCCCTGGGCCCCGTCTGTATCTGCTCCTAGCTCCCCTGTAGCACATCTCAACAGCTTCCTCTCTGCTTTCTTCACCTGTTGGCACCCCCACACCTTCTCCTGGAGGTCCTGTTGCTAGACTCATCTTCCTAAACACAAACCCAGCTGTGGCCCCTGCCAAAGTTCCCGTCACCTCCAGGACAGGCCCAAGCCCTCACCCGTGAGCGGCCCTTGGCCTTTCCTCTTGCAGTCAGGGCCTCTGCCCTACATTGCCGCCCTCCTGGCCCTTGCCCTGCCCCTGACCCAACCCTCTAGACTCTAATGTCCCCAGGGAGCCGCCCCCAAGGGTTAGCTAGCCAAGAGTTTGTCTTCCTTGAACTCCTCAAGAAAATACTGTCCTTGCACATTTCTCTCGGCCGCTATCCCTGAGCTCCTCCTGTCTCGGCTGACATTCTCTTTCAGCATGCGATTGCTCCATGTTTCCTCCTCGGCGTGAACTACTGATGGGTCTGTGAGCTGACGCTGAGCAGGATCCTGCATGCTTAGAGCCCTGATGGGCAGGGCATGCTGAATGAGGAGCTGCACCTGCTCAAGGAGGTGGGGGAGGGGAGCCGCAGTGCCTGCCGGGTGCTCAGCATGTGGACAAGCAGAGTGACTGACAGTAGCAGTGCTGAGCGGGCAGCTGCTGGCAGGGTGATGTGGACCCCACGAAGGGGCCTAGGTGGCTGAGAAGGCAGTGCGCATCCCCACCTGGGAAGTGGGGCCCCCCTGTGGCTCGGGCTGTGCAAGGTCAGACCTGGGGGTTGAGGGGCAAGGAGACAGCAGGAGGCCAGCTGGAGCAGCCAGCTGGCAGTCAGCAGGGCCTGTGTGCCAGACAAGGAATGTGGACTTCATCCTGCTGGCGACCATCAGAGGGTTTGAAGGATGCGAGTGGTGTGATCAGTGTTTGGGAAACACACCTGGGGCCAGGCAGAGGGCTGGTGGCGAGCTGACAGGTGAGCAGGAGAAGGCCTTAGGAGGCAGGGGAAGGTGAGCAGGGAGAGTGAGGGAGGATGAGAGAGGAGAGAGGACAGCCCCATTTCTGGCCTGAGTGGCTGGGGTAGGTACCGTTGACGGAGATAACGCAGGAGCAGCAGGTTTGTGGGGAGGATGGACTTGGCCTTGGGCAGGCCACAGCAGAAGTGCCTGTGGACACTGGGAGGGTGCTGGCTTGCAGTGTATGGGCCCCTTCATGGACACCGCGGTGCTGGTGCCAGTTAAAGGAGTGGATTGATGGGCTGGCAGGGAAGAGGTGGAAAAGCCCTGGGAGAGGGTTCTCAAGTCAAGCCAGATGGAGGGTCCTGCAGAAGCCTGCAGTGAGGAGTCACCTGGATTAGGAGCTCAGGGCAGGGAGGTCCTCAGACAGGGCTGCGCCCTGGGGAGCAGAGGGACTCCTCTGTGGGGAGGGTGAGGCTGTGGACACCTGGCTGATCTCTGAACGTACACCCTGGAGCCAGTGGTGGGGTGGATGAGGGATCCGGAATTGAGGGAGCAAAAGCCACAGGAGAGGACATGCAGAACAAGTTGGGGCTGAGGACTCATGAAAGGGTGAGGCATGCTAAGGCCAGCGGAAGGTGCCAGAGGCAGGCAAAGGGGCCCAACTGACCAAGCCATCGGAGTCTTTGTCCAGCTCTCCACCAGGGGCTCCAGGATGCAGACTTCTAGAGGGGAGGGTGGGGAAGTGTTGAGGGTCTTCGTCTGAGCCAGGCCTGGACAGCATGTGAAATGCTGGCTGATGGGCTCCCTGGGGGCCAGGCAGAGCCTGAGGAGTGTGACAGACCTGCTCTGGGGTGGGTCAGTGACCTGTGCTGCTGCCCCTTGGGCCAAGGGCGAGATGGTAAGGGTCTCACAGGATGCTCCCTCATGCTGTGCAGTTCCCAGGAGCGAGTGGCAGACACAACCAGGCCGCTTACCATCATGTGACCCAGGCACCATACTTAACCTCCAGGAACCTCAGGGTCCCCGTCCATCAGCTGGAAATCCCGGCACATACCTTATGACAGGGCTGGGAAAATTGCAAGGGAAGCGGAAGCATGGATAGAAAAGAATTAGCTACTGTCATTAACCTCCACCACAAGCTAACCCCCACCATCACTGCCTGGTCCTGCTCCCTTCGTCACCCTGGCGATGCCTGCAGCTCCCTCCCCACCTCACGGAGGAAGCAGCGTGAAAAGACAGTGACAGAGGAGAACGGAGAGAGAAGATCCCCTTTATTAGAATTTTAAAGACAGCAGAATGAGAGGAAGGCATCCTCCTCCCCCGAATATTCCCATCCTCTCTGCCTTCAGGGCTCGGCACAGGGATGAGACCCTCACCCCTCAGGCCCCCCAGAGGGCAGCGCTTCGGGGTGTGGGTGGGGAGGGGATGGGGAGACTCTATGCCAGGCAGGGGAGTTGGGACAGGAGGGGAGACGTGCACCCTCACCTCTTGGCTCGATCCCTCTCCCCTAGGACCTGGTGTTGCCCTCCAGACCCTGGGGTGGGCTGGCAGACGGGGCTCATGCAACAGTGAGTGGGCAGGAGGTGGCACAGAAACCCGGCCCCGCTGCCCTTTGGCGGGGCGGGAGGGCTAGAAGGGGCCATGCTGGCCACAGCGGGTCCAAACAGAAGTATCTGCAGTGTACGCACACAAGAGGGTCGGAGAGGGGCTCCCTCTGTCCCAGGCTGTGCTCGGGGACAAGAGAGGGGAGGTACAGATGGCACTGCCACGCCAGGTGCAAGATCCAGACCAGCCACGCCACCTGAGTGGGGCCCCGCACAAGCTGAGGGCTCGGGCTACTCCTTGGCACGGCCGATGATGGTGAGAATGTACAGGAAGATGTTGATGATGTCCGTGTACAGGTTCAGCGCGGCAAACACGTACTCCTCTGGGCTTAGGGACAGCTGCTTGTTCCCCAGCAGCAGCTGGGTGTCCACTGCCAGGAACTGGGGGTGACAGCATACTGGTGTTGAGAAACAAGCTTGCTGCCCTGCTTGAGCCCTGTCCCGGCTGCCCACCCCCCTCACTCACACAGGTGAAGAGCAGTGCACCGAGTGAAGCGTACACGATCTCCAGGATGCGGTTCCGAATGAAGATGCAGAGGATGGCGAAGATGAGCAGTACCACCATGCTCACCAGGAGCACGCCCATGCACGAGGTGAAGTCGTAGCGGGTCTGAGGGCACAGGGAGAGACAGGAGGCCCTGGGTGCTGGGCCCTGAAAGCCCTCTGGGCCCCCAGGGCCCACAGCCCTGCTGTGGGGGGCCCCTCACCTGCATGGAGAAGATGACCACTGTGAAGCAGACGGTTGTGGTGATGCCTACAGCCATGATGACCGCCTCAGTGTTGTAGAAGCTGGCGATCATGCCCACCATGTAGGACAGGCTGACGGTCAGGATCGACTGTGGGGAGAGAGAGCCTTGGGTAAGGGGAGCTGCCCCCCCGCCCTGCCTCCCATTCCCTGCTGTCGCTGCAAAGACCCTGGCTGGGCACCAGGGGCTCAGGTTTTGGGGTTACCAGTGCAACAAGGTTCCAGGGGTGCTTTCGCCGGAAGTCCCCACAGCAGCTGAGGACAATGAGGGAGGTGAAGAACACCGCGTAGGAGACGTAGTAGGTCCAGACGTTCTCCCGGACAAAGTCCTTCACCTTCCCAACGAACGTGAACACAGCCACGGTGGAGAGTGTCACGGACAGCTGCAGGGTCAGCACCAGGAACACCTGGGGACAGAGCCAGCTCAGAGCCCCCCCCCCCGCGCTGCTGCCCAGCCCTCCCCAGGCCCTGTGGCCCACCTTCCGGATGAAGGCCTGGCGGATGCTCTTGTCATCCCAGTTGGTGGCAGGGAAGTCCTGATTGTCATAGTAGGACGGGGGTCCCTCCTCGTGATAGTTCCCGTGCTGAGGTGCTGAGGAGCAGGATGGTCTGGGTAAGTGCCGCTTGCAGGTACCCGGAGCCCCTGCCCTCCCCCTGCCCCTCTACTCACAGTCAGGATCCTGTACCGGGAAGGCCTGTGGTTGTCCATAGGGGTTGGGAGGAAAGGGACTCTGCGGATACGGCCCCTGAGGGTAGCCCCCTTGGGAGTAGGGGTCCGGAGGGTAGCCCCCTTGGGGATAGGGCCCCTGAGGATAGCCCCCTTGGGGGTAGGGGCCCTGAGGATAGCCCCCTTGGGGGTAAGGGCTGGGGCCCTGGGGATATCCTGGCTGGCCATAGGGGGAAGGCTGGAATGGGGGCTGTGGGTAAGGGACCCCAGGGTAGGGAGGCATGGAGGGCTGGGGCCCTCCAGGATATCCAGGGTTGGGGGGAGGATAGCTGTCCCCAGACACCAAGAAACTCTTCTCATGGGGCATGGCTGCGGTTCTGTGGTCTCCCCCTAGAGAAGAGAGACAGAACAGTCAGCCCTACGGTGACATGTCCCCAGAACCAGCCCAGGGCGCCCCACCTGCTGCCGGGAACAAGGATGGAAGGAGGTGGATTCATGACCTTTCCCCCAGGCTGCTGGGAGCCCTGAGCATTGAGGCCAGGAGTGACAGGGTGGCTGGGCGCGGGGCTTGAGAAGGGGCCCCTCTAGGCCGACCCCCCAAGGTGGAGGAGGGGATGGATGATGGGATGACTTTGTCAGCCTAGGGATTTTTGGGCTTCGATCGTTTTTTAGGACCTGGAGGGGCCTTCTCAACCGCTGCAGGGTCAGAGCTCAGGCCAGGTCGGGGCTAGGGGCTCGGTCGGGAGGTGTAGGGGTGTGCCCGGACCCTCCCCTTCGCATCCCGCCCCTTAAGCAGCTTTAAGGGGCCAGAGCCGGCGGCTATTTCTATCCCAGGAAATCCCCACGCCATCTGTGACCCGCTCCAAGAGCAGGGCCCAACCGAGCCTTCATCCCGGGGTGGGGGCAGCAGGCCTGCATCGGCCGCTGCGGTGCCCGCCAGTGGGGTACGCCAGGAACAGCGGGGTGCGGGGGTGTGTGGGGGATGGAAGCGACCAGAGGGCGTCAGGGAAACAAAGCAGGCGTGGGGGCGAGGCGGGTGGGGGCGGCGGCCACGGAACCCGCACTCCAGGCGGAGTGGGCCCTCTCGCTCCGCCGGGGGGCGCTCGGGTCGCGGGTCCCGCCGCCGCCGCAGCGCGTCGACCCCTCCCTCCCGCTCCGGGCCGCGGCTCCCCGCACCCCAGCTGCCGCCCCCAGCCCCGAGCGGGCCGCGCATCCCGGCGAGACCGACCGACGAGCCACCCCGCGCTGCTCGGCTGCGCAGGACCGGGGCGGGGGCGGGGGCGGCCGGCCGGGTGGCTGGGCGGGTAGACACGCTGCCGGCCTTGGGCCGGGGACTCACCACGCGCGGGGCGCCGCAGGACGGTGCGCACGGTGTCCGCTGAGCGGCCGCACGGTTGATGGCCGCCGCGCCCGCGCCCGCGCCCGCGCCCGCACCTGCTCGGCGGCCGGCTCGGCTGGACCTGCGCCTGCGGCTCCGGAGACGCAGCGGGGCCTTGTGACGGGGCGGGCCTGGGCGGGGCTGGGGGCGGGGCTGGGGCGGGGCCGGGGGCGGGGCCGGGGCTCGGCTCCGCAGGGAATACGGGACTTCTCCCCAGCGGCCCCTGCCCACTGCAGCCGCCCTGCTGGCTCTTTTCCGAGTTCCAGGCCCAAGCCCCGCGCCCCACACTGTTCGCCAAGGGGTAGCTTGGGCCATGGGGGCTGAGGACTCCTGGAGGCAGCGGCGTCGCCTGGTCAATTTGGTCAAAGAGTTGAGAAATTTATTCCCAAATCTAGAATTTGCTGAGGCTGCCAAACACTCTCCATTCCTCCTTGGCCTTAAAACACCACTTTCCCTTTTCATTCAAGTCTATCCCAAATCAAGACGCCTAATTGTTAATTGCTCCATCCTCTCTACAAATCACTGAGACCAGCTGTTCCAGGCCCTCAGTAGCCCTTCTGTCTTCACTTGTCTTCCTCACATCTTCACAAGCTGTGAGGGTGGCATTCTTAGCCCTGCTTCACTGCTCAGGGGCTGAGGCTTAGAGATGCCCCAGGACTGGAGACCAAGTTAACTTCTTCTCTTGGCTTCAGCAATCCTCCCGAGGACGTGCAGACTGCCACGGCCAGGGTTGACCCCTGGAGCTGTGCCTCTCCACCTAGGGCCTAGGGCCCTTCCTGTGCTATCCTGGCTCTCGGATAGTTTTGGCCTCTCCCAGGCCTGGCAGTGGTTCGGAAAAGGCTCTTTCCTATGCCCACAGTGTGCTGGTTCAAAGTTCAACAATTGGATCCAGTGAGGGGTTCACAAAAATTCGTGAAAATTTAACAATCTGGTCATGATATGAGCTGTTCCAGCATACCTCTGCCTGTGGCAGACCATCTACAGCAGGGATCGGCACAATAAGTAAATTATATAAGATGTTAGAAGGTGATGAATTCTAGGATAAGAGAAAATATAGACCAGGCAGGGACAGATCGAGGTTTTGCAGAACTACAAGCTCATGCACTTTGAGGGGCCCTCTTTAAGAAAAATAATTAAAAATGGCAAATGTGGAGTTGAGATTGGGGTCGTGGAAGGGCCTTGTGGAAGTCAAAGGTCCTTAAAGACTTTTAAGTTCCAATTAAATCTGCCACTAAGAACAAGGTAAAGGGAGTCACAGGGAAGGGGTGGCCAGATGGCATTGTGGGAAAGGCTGGTCTGGGCAGAGGGCAGGGCCAACGCGAGAATGCTGAGGTGGGAGCGATCTACTGCCCCGGAGGACGAGGCTGGAGCCGACTAAGCATGGAGGGGTGCAGTGGGGATGGGACAAGAGAGGGGACTGGTGGAGCCTGGCAGGCCCCCCAAAGGCCTTTGGCTTTTACTGTGAGAGACTTTGCCTTTTGCCGTGGCTGGAGCTGTAGGAGCTGTTGGTCCCGCTTTACAAGGTTTACCCCATTCTCTCTGTTGAGGATGGACAGTGGGGTTGGGTGGGACTGGCAGAAGGAGATTAGTCAGAGGTTAGCGTAGCAATCCAAGCGAGAGATGATGGAGGTTCAGCCCAGAGTGGGGCAGCCAAGGTCCTGGGGGTGCAGCTCGGGGTGCAGGCTGAGCAGGTCCTCAGGCCCCTGGAGGAGTAGCAGGGTTGGAGGCTGGGTTTCAGTGGGCTGAGGGGTAAATGGGAGGTGGGAGATGGGGAGCAGTAGTGGGCAGAGTTGTTTGAGGGGCTAGAAGCTAATGGAGCATGCACAAGTAGGGGGCATTTGGTGGCAAGAAGGAATGCGGATTGTTAAGCTGCAGCCTGTAAAGGTGTGAGGCCCAGCACTGCCGTGGGCCCATCTGCGCCTCCATCTTTCTTTCTGTGATGAGGATTCGCTGCAGCAAGACTTCTGGGGTTAGCCGTGATGATGACGATGCTGAGACAATGATGCTGATGTAAGATGGGGAAACTGCGCAGGTGCACAGACTGGAGAGAGCCACAGGAAAGGGAGTGGAGGAGGCAGGAGGAAAGCTGTGCTGGGGCCCGAGCCCTTGTAGGTCAAGGGCAGGAGCTGCTCACCCTCAGCACTCACAGCCTGGTCACCTGCTAGGTGTGAAGGGTGAGAAGCAGGGTGTGAGAAGGTTGCTGGGGAGAGCTGAGAGCCAGCCTCAGCTAGGGGCTGGGCTGGAGACCCCAGCTGCTCACGCCGTGGGGGAGGGGAACACAGAGGCGTGAGGTCCTTGAGTGGGGTACAATCACTCAAGCCCCTTGGTGGATTTAGTAGGGAGGGTGATTGGTCATTTTGAGGTTCACAGGGAGAGGCCAGTGGGAGTAGAAGACCTCCGGGGGCCACTCTCCCACCCTGCCAGCCAGTGGACTGGGGTGGGACAGATGGGGCTGGGTAGCTGGACTGAGGGGTAGGCCCAGCCAACACTGAGGTGCTGCGGGGTAGGGATGGAAGGTTCTGCAGGAGAACCGGTGAATAGGAAGGGAAGCACCTGAGTGGCAGCCACCCAGACCCAGCACAGCAGGCCCCTCCCTCCGTCCTTCACTCAGACAGTTAGTTTCACTTTTGTTTTCCTGTCTCAGGCCTTCTGCCTGTGGAGCAGACACAGAAGTCCTGGCTGAAGGCCTGGGCTGGAGCCACCCGGGGGGCTTGGCAAGTGTAAGTGCGGGATATAGGCCACCCATGATGAAGGGGGTCGCTAGGGGCCTGGAGGGGTGGGGTGGGACTATGGACCACAACCCTACCCACCTGTCCCGCCCCCAGGGTTGTGATGGCAGAGGCGGAGGCAGAGGCGGAGGAGGAAGTTGGGGCGGCAGTGGAGCTCAGCGGGCTGCCCCCTGACATCTCCCATGAGCTGCTCACGCTCTACTTTGAGAACCGCCGACGCTCTGGGGGGGGACCTGTGTTGAGCTGGCAGAGGCTTGGCCGTGGGGGCGTACTCACCTTTCGAGAGCCTGCAGGTGAGGGGCTGATGGAAGGGGGCAGCCTGGGCCCCCACTAGCGTGGCCCTGACACCCCACTCCACCCCTGCCCATAGATGCAGTGAGGGTCTTGGCCCAGGAGGAGCACGTGCTCCATGGTACTCGGCTGAGTCTGCGGCCAGCCCCGCCATGTGCCCCTGCACGCCTCTTGCTCCAAGGACTGCCCCCTGGCACTGCACCCCAGCGCCTAGAGAAGCACATCCAGGCCCTGCTGCATGCCATGGGGCACCTGGAACAGTCCTGCCACGTCCTGGCCAGTCCCCGGCCAGACCGGGCCCTGATTCAGCTGCCCAAGCCCCTCTCTGAGGCAGGTGAGAGGTGGGATGGTGGCAGATGTGCCTGCTAGGGGAGATGCCCTGTGCTGACTTGCACCCTCCCCACAGAATTCTGTGTCCTGGAGGAGCAGGCCCGGGCCCTGAGCCTGGAGGGGGCTGAGGTATCCCTGGCCCGGGTGCCGCAGGCCCGAGCGGTGCGTGTGGTGGGGGACGCCTCCCCTGCAGACCTGCTGCTGCTGGAGCTGTACCTGGAGAACGAGCGCCGCAGTGGTGGGGGGCCCCTGGTGGGCCTGCGCAGCTTGCCTGGGCACTTGGGCACTGTGGTCTCCTTCCAGCACTGGCAGGGTGAGTGGGGCTAGATGGACACAGCCCACCCCTCCCTACCGCTCCCTACCCCTGATGGGCCTTATGTCCTTTCCCTTTCTCCAAGTGGCTGAACGGGTGCTGCAGCGGGACCACTGGCTGCAGGGCTCAGAGCTGAGCCTCGTCCCCCACTATGACTTCCTGGAACCTGAGGAGATTGCCGAGGACACCAGTGGAGGGGACCACCTGGCTGAGTTGGGGTCTGGGGCTAGCGAGCATGCTCTCTCAGAGGCTGGAGGGCCAGAGAGAGCACTGAAGGGTGCAGGGACGGTGACACTGGGCTCTGAGGAGGCACCAGGGCAATCAGGAGCCTCTCCGAGGACAGGTCCCATAAGGTCTCTGGGGCAGGCCAGGCCAGTCAGCTCGAGGCCCCAGGGGTCTTCAGAACATGAAAGGCCCATGAGCCTGGGGACTGTGGGGTCTCCAGAGCAGGCAGAACTAGTAAGCCTGGGGCCTATGGGGTCCCCAGGCCCAACAGGCCAAGTGGGCCTAGTGGAGATTGCCATGGGGTCTCCAGAGCAGGTGGCGTCAGTGAGACTGGGGCCTGTAGGATCACCGAGGCAGGAGGACCTGGTGGAGATGGTACTGTCAATGGAGCCAGGAGCAATGCGTTTCATACAAGTCTATCATGAGGACCTTCTTTCTGGACTGGGAGATGTTGCCGTCTTCCCACTTGAAGGATCAGATGTAACTGGCTTTCGGGTGAGTGACCCCTGAGGATGCCTCACCTTTGGTCCCCTTTCCCTCTGGGGGCTCTGGGTACCTTTCTTGTGCCCTAAACCTGCAAACTGCCCCCCACCCACTATGGTCCTGCAGCTCTGTGGAGCCCTGGCCCCGTGCCAGGCGGCCAAGGAGTTCCTGCAAAGTCTGCTGGGCAGCATTAGCTGTCACGTGCTGAGCCTGAAGCATCCGGGCAGCGCCAGGTTCCTGCTGGGCCCAGAGGGGCAGCACCTTCTTCAGGAGCTGGAGGCTCAGTTCCAGTGTGTCTTTGGGACAGAGCGTCTGGTCGGGGCCACCCTGGACACAGACCCTGGAGAGGTAGAGACGGAGCCCCCCAGCCCCTCCCCTTTCTCACACCTCAGCCACAGGTGCTTCCTCCACCCCCGCTCAGAGGCCTGGGAGGGGTGTGTACCCAGTGGGCACTGACATTTTCTCCCGACAGGTGGACGCCGCTGAGGCCCTCCAGGCCCTCCCTGGCCACTCCCACACCCTGTGGCCCCCAGACAGTACAGGCAGTAACCAGGAGAACGTGAACCTGGGTAGGGCTCCTTGGGGACCCCCAGCACATCCTGTGGCCTTTCTCTACCTCACCCTCTGGCCTGCCCTGCGCTCCCACCTCTCTTATGATCATGCACCCCCTAAACCCTCTCTCCGTCTTTCACTCGTTCCCAGATTTGTCCTATCCTTTAGCCCCACCCTGGCCAGGCTTGACCCCTGACCCAGTGCCTCTCCCTGCCCCTAGAGGAGGTCCGAGAGCTGCTGGCCACCATCGGGGAGGACTGGCTGCCCCTGGAGCCGAGGGAAGAGCAGCCAGAGGAGGAGGAGACTCCAGGGTGCTTGGAGGAGGAGCCTGCACCCGGGGCTAGAGAGGATCCCGTGGCCACCAGCACTGGGGCCCCAGGGAGGTTGGAGGAGGAGGCCGCACTGCAGCTGGCTCTCCACCGGTCACTGGAGCTGCAAGGCCAGGTGGCTGAGCAGGAGGAGGCTGCTGCGCTGCAGCGAGCCCTGGCCCTCTCCCTGCTGGAGCCACCTCCATTGGAGGCAGCAGAGCTCCTGGGTGGGGGGACTGGTGGCCAGGCCCAGCTGGTGGTGCATGTGGCCTTTGAGCAGGACATGGACGAGCTGGACCAAGCACTAGGGGCCGCCTTGGAGGTGCACCTCTGGGAGGAGACTGTGGGGTCCCAGGGCTACATGCTGCCCACAGAGCTGTGTGCCCGCCTGGAACAGTGCCACGGTGTGAGTGTTTCCTTTCAAGGTGACTGCACTGTCCTCCGTGGCTTTGGGGTCCAGCCCACCCGTGCAGCCCGCCACTTAGCAGCACTGCTGGCTGGCCCCCCGGATCAGAGTTTGGCCCTTTTCTCGGCGGCTTCAGACCCCACCCGTGAGTCTGCACCCTTGACTGGGGGAGGATGGGGTGGGCCAGCTCTCAGGGACCAGCACCCCAGACATGGCCTGGACCCCTTCCTCCCCATGTGTCAGTGCCACAGCAGAGGCTGAAGGTGCCCTTGGGCAGGCTGGAGTGTCTGGCTGACAGCAGCAAGGAGTTCCAGGAGGTGGTTCAGGCCTTCTATGACACGCTGGATGCTGACCACAGCAGGATCCGCATTGTCCGGGTGAGTCCATGATCTGTCTTGCAAGCCTCATGGCCTCCTGGGCCCATGCACCATTTTCACCCTGCAGAGCCTGTGGCTTGTCACTCTTGCCTACGTCAGAGTCAGGTGGCCAGGAGCTGCCCAGTGTGGGGCAGGCTGGAAGCTGCCGGATGTGGACCCACGAAGGGGCCTAGGTGGCTGAGAAGGCAGTGGCATCCCCACCTGGGAAGTGGGGCCCCCCTGTGGCTCGGGCTGTGCAAGTCAGACCTGGGGTTGAGGGGCAAGGAGACAGCAGGAGGCCAGCTGGAGCAGCCAGCTGGCAGTCAGCAGGGCCTGTGTGCCAGACAAGGAATGTGGACTTCATCCTGCTGGCGACCATCAGAGGGTTTGAAGGATGCGAGTGGTGTGATCAGTGTTTGGGAAACACACCTGGGGCCAGGCAGAGGGCTGGTGGCGAGCTGACAGGTGAGCAGGAGAAGGCCTTAGGAGGCAGGGGAAGGTAGCAGGGAGAGTGAGGGAGGATGAGAGAGGAGAGAGGACAGCCCCATTTCTGGCCTGAGTGGCTGGGTAGGTACCGTTGACGGAGATAACGCAGGAGCAGCAGGTTTGTGGGAGGATGGACTTGGCCTTGGGCAGGCCACAGCAGAAGTGCTGTGGACACTGGGAGGGTGCTGGCTTGCAGTGTATGGGCCCCTTCATGGACACCGCGGTGCTGGTGCCAGTTAAAGGAGTGGATGATGGGCTGGCAGGGAAGAGGTGGAAAACCCTGGGAGAGGGTTCTCAAGTCAAGCCAGATGGAGGGTCCTGCAGAAGCCTGCAGTGAGGAGTCACCTGGATTAGGAGCTCAGGGCAGGAGGTCCTCAGACAGGTGCGCCCTGGGAGCAGAGGGACTCCTCTGTGGGGAGGGTGAGGCTGTGACACCTGGCTGATCTCTGAACGTACACCCTGGAGCCAGTGGTGGGGTGGATGAGGGATCCGGAATTGAGGAGCAAAAGCCACAGGAGAGGACATGCAGAACAAGTTGGGGCTGAGGACTCATGAAAGGGTGAGGCATGCTAAGGCCAGCGGAAGGTGCCAGAGGCAGGCAAAGGGGCCCAACTGACCAAGCCATCGGAGTCTTTGTCCAGCTCTCCACCAGGGGCTCCAGGATGCAGACTTCTAGAGGGAGGGTGGGGAAGTGTTGAGGGTCTTCGTCTGAGCCAGGCCTGGACAGCATGTGAAATGCTGGCTGATGGGCTCCCTGGGGGCCAGGCAGAGCCTGAGGAGTGTGACAGACCTGCTCTGGGGTGGGTCAGTGACCTGTGCTGCTGCCCTTGGGCCAAGGGCGAGATGGTAAGGGTCTCACAGGATGTCCCTCATGCTGTGCAGTTCCCAGGAGCGAGTGGCAGACACAACCAGGCCGCTTACCATCATGTGCCACAGGCACCATATACTTAACTCAGGACCTCAGGGTCCCGTCCATCAGCTGGAAATCCCGGCACATACTTATGAAGGGCTGGGAAAATTGCAAGGGAAGCGGAAGCATGGATAGAAAAGAATTAGCTACTGTCATTAACCTCCACCAAAGCTAACCCCCACCATCACTGCCTGGTCCTGCTCCCTTCGTCACCTGGCGATGCCTGCAGCTCCCTCCCCACCTCACGGAGGAAGCAGCGTGAAAAGACAGTGACAGAGGAGAACGGAGAGAGAAGATCCCTTTATTAGAATTTAAAGACAGCAGAATGAGAGGAAGGCATCCTCCTCCCCCGAATATTCCCATCCTCTCTGCCTTCAGGGCTCGGCACAGGGATGAGACCCTCACCCCTCAGGCCCCCAGAGGGCAGCGCTTCGGGTGTGGGTGGGAGGGATGGGGAGACTCTATGCCAGGCAGGGAGTTGGGACAGGAGGGGAGACGTGCACCCTCACCTCTTGGCTCGATCCTCTCCCCTAGGACCTGGTGTTGCCCTCCAGACCCTGGGTGGGCTGGCAGACGGGGCTCATGCAACAGTGAGTGGGCAGGAGGTGGCACAGAAACCCGGCCCCGCTGCCCTTTGGCGGGGCGGGAGGGCTAGAAGGGGCCATGCTGGCCCAGCGGGTCCAAACAGAAGTATCTGCATGTACGCACACAAGAGGGTCGGAGAGGGGCTCCTCTGTCCCAGGCTGTGCTCGGGACAAGAGAGGGGAGGTACAGATGGCACTGCCACGCCAGGTGCAAGATCCAGACCAGCCACGCCACCTGAGTGGGCCCGCACAAGCTGAGGGCTCGGGCTACTCCTTGGCACGGCCGATGATGGTGAGAATGTACAGGAAGATGTTGATGATGTCCGTGTACAGGTTCAGCGCGGCAAACACGTACTCCTCTGGGCTTAGGGACAGCTGCTTGTTCCCCAGCAGCAGCTGGGTGTCCACTGCCAGGAACTGGGGGTGACAGCATACTGGTGTTGAGAAACAAGCTTGCTGCCTGCTTGAGCCCTGTCCCGGCTGCCCACCCCCCTCACTCACACAGGTGAAGAGCAGTGCACCGAGTGAAGCGTACACGATCTCCAGGATGCGGTTCCGAATGAAGATGCAGAGGATGGCGAAGATGAGCAGTACCACCGCTCACAGGAAGCACGCCCATGCACGAGGTGAAGTCGTAGCGGGTCTGAGGGCACAGGGAGAGACAGGAGGCCCTGGGTGCTGGGCCTGAAAGCCCTCTGGGCCCCCAGGGCCCACGCCCTGCTGTGGGGGGCCCCTCACCTGCATGGAGAAGATGACCACTGTGAAGCAGACGGTTGTGGTGATGCCTACAGCCATGATGACCGCCTCAGTGTTGTAGAAGCTGGCGATCATGCCCACATGTAGGACAGGCTGACGGTCAGGATCGACTGTGGGGAGAGAGAGCCTTGGGTAAGGGGAGCTGCCCCCGCCCTGCCTCCCATTCCCTGCTGTCGCTGCAAAGACCCTGGCTGGGCACCAGGGGCTCAGGTTTTGGGGTTACCAGTGCAACAAGGTTCCAGGGGTGCTTTCGCCGGAAGTCCCCACAGCAGCTGAGGACAATGAGGGAGGTGAAGAACACCGCGTAGGAGACGTAGTAGGTCCAGACGTTCTCCGCGGACAAAGTCCTTCACCTTCCCAACGAACGTGAACACAGCCACGGTGGAGAGTGTCACGGACAGCTGCAGGGTCAGCACCAGGACACCTGGGGACAGAGCCAGCTCAGAGCCCCCCCCCCGCGCTGCTGCCAGCCCTCCCAGGCCCTGTGGCCCACCTTCCGGATGAAGGCCTGGCGGATGCTCTTGTCATCCCAGTTGGTGGCAGGGAAGTCCTGATTGTCATAGTAGGACGGGGGCCTCCTCGTGATAGTTCCCGTGCTGAGGTGCTGAGGAGCAGGATGGTCTGGGTAAGTGCCGTTGCAGGTACCCGGAGCCCCTGCCCTCCCCCTGCCCTCTACTCACAGTCAGGATCCTGTACCGGGAAGGCCTGTGGTTGTCCATAGGGGTTGGGAGGAAAGGGACTGCGGATACGGCCCCTGAGGGTAGCCCCTTGGGAGTAGGGGTCCGGAGGGTAGCCCCCTTGGGGATAGGGCCCCTGAGGATAGCCCCTTGGGGTAGGGGCCTGAGGATAGCCCCTTGGGGGTAAGGGCTGGGGCCCTGGGGATATCCTGGCTGGCCATAGGGGGAAGGCTGAATGGGGGCTGTGGGTAAGGGACCCCAGGGTAGGGAGGCATGGAGGGCTGGGGCCCTCCAGGATATCCAGGGTTGGGGGGAGGTAGCTGTCCCAGACACCAAGAAACTCTTCTCATGGGGCATGGCTGCGGTTCTGTGGTCTCCCCCTAGAGAAGAGAGACAGAACAGTCAGCCCTACGGTGACATGTCCCCAGAACCAGCCCAGGGCGCCCCACCTGCTGCCGGGAACAAGGATGGAAGGAGGTGGATTCATGACCTTTCCCCCAGGCTGCTGGGAGCCCTGAGCATTGAGGCCAGGAGTGACAGGGTGGCTGGGCGCGGGGCTTGAGAAGGGGCCCCTCTAGGCGACACCCCAAGGTGGAGGAGGGGATGGATGATGGGATGACTTTGTCAGCCTAGGGATTTTTGGGCTTCGATCGTTTTTTAGGACCTGGAGGGCCTTCTCACCGCTGCAGGGTCAGAGCTCAGGCCAGGTCGGGGCTAGGGGCTCGGTCGGAGGTGTAGGGGTGTGCCCGGACCCTCCCTTCGCATCCCGCCCCTTAAGCAGCTTTAAGGGGCCAGAGCCGGCGGCTATTTCTATCCCAGGAAATCCCACGCCATCTGTGACCCGCTCCAAGAGCAGGGCCCAACCGAGCCTTCATCCCGGGGTGGGGGCAGCAGGCTGCATCGGCCGCTGCGGTGCCGCCAGTGGGGTACGCCAGGAACAGCGGGGTGCGGGGGTGTGTGGGGATGGAAGCGACCAGAGGGCGTCAGGGAAACAAAGCAGGCGTGGGGGCGAGGCGGGTGGGGGCGGCGGCCACGGAACCCGCACTCCAGGCGGAGTGGCCCTCTCGCTCCGCGGGGGCGCTCGGGTCGCGGGTCCGCCGCCGCCGCAGCGCGTCGACCCCTCCCTCCCGCTCCGGGCCGCGGCTCCCCGCACCCCAGCTGCCGCCGCCCAGCCGAGCGGCCGCGCATCCCGGCGAGACCGACCGACGAGCCACCCGCGCGCTGCTCGCTGCGCAGGACCGGGGCGGGGGCGGGGGCGGCGGCCGGGTGGCTGGGCGGGTAGACACGCTGCCGGCCTTGGGCCGGGGACTCACCACGCGCGGGGCGCCGCAGGACGGTGCGCACGGTGTCCGCTGAGCGGCCGCACGGTTGATGGCCGCCGCGCCCGCGCCCGCGCCCGCGCGCCGCACCTGCTCGGCGGCCGGCTCGGCTGGACCTGCGCCTGCGGCTCCGGAGACGCAGCGGGGCCTTGTGACGGGGCGGGCCTGGGCGGGGCTGGGGGCGGGGCTGGGGGGGGCCGGGGCGGGGCCGGGGCTCGGCTCCGCAGGGAATACGGGACTTCTCCCCAGCGGCCCCTGCCCACTGCAGCCGCCCTGCTGGCTCTTTTCCGAGTTCAGGCCCAAGCCCCGCGCCCCACACTGTTCGCCAAGGGGTAGCTTGGGCCATGGGGGCTGAGGACTCCTGGAGGCAGCGGCGTCGCCTGGTCAATTTGGTCAAAGAGTTGAGAAATTTATTCCCAAATCTAGAATTTGCTGAGGCTGCCAAACACTCTCCATTCCTCCTTGGCCTTAAAACACCACTTTCCCTTTTCATTCAAGTCTATCCCAAATCAAGACGCCTAATTGTTAATTGCTCCATCCTCTCTACAAATCACTGAGACCAGCTGTTCCAGGCCCTCAGTAGCCCTTCTGTCTTCACTTGTCTTCCTCACATCTTCACAAGCTGTGAGGGTGGCATTCTTAGCCCTGCTTCACTGCTCAGGGGCTGAGGCTTAGAGATGCCCCAGGACTGGAGACCAAGTTAACTTCTTCTCTTGGCTTCAGCAATCTCCCGAGGACGTGCAGACTGCCACGGCCAGGTTGACCCCTGGAGCTGTGCCTCTCCACCTAGGGCCTAGGGCCTTCCTGTGCTATCCTGGCTCTCGGATAGTTTTGGCCTCTCCCAGGCCTGGCAGTGGTTCGGAAAAGGCTCTTTCCTATGCCCACAGTGTGCTGGTTCAAAGTTCAACAATTGGATCCAGTGAGGGTTCACAAAAATTCGTGAAAATTTAACAATCTGGTCATGATATGAGCTGTTCCAGCATACCTCTGCCTGTGGCAGACCATCTACAGCAGGGATCGGCACAATAAGTAAATATATAAGATGTTAGAAGGTGATGAATTCTAGGATAAGAGAAAATATAGACCAGGCAGGGACAGATCGAGGTTTTGCAGAACTACAAGCTCATGCACTTTGAGGGCCCTCTTTAAGAAAAATAATTAAAAATGGCAAATGTGGAGTTGAGATTGGGGTCGTGGAAGGGCCTTGTGGAAGTCAAAGGTCCTTAAAGACTTTTAAGTTCCAATTAAATCTGCCACTAAGAACAAGGTAAAGGGAGTCACAGGGAAGGGGTGGCCAGATGGCATTGTGGGAAAGGCTGGTCTGGGCAGAGGGCAGGGCCAACGCGAGAATGCTGAGGTGGGAGCGATCTACTGCCCCGGAGGACGAGGTGGAGCCGACTAGCATGGAGGGGTGCAGTGGGGATGGGACAAGAGAGGGGACTGGTGGAGCCTGCGAGGCCCCCCAAAGGCCTTTGGCTTTTACTGTGAGAGACTTTGCCTTTTGCCGTGGCTGGAGCTGTAGGAGCTGTTGGTCCCGCTTTACAAGGTTTACCCCATTCTCTCTGTTGAGGATGGACAGTGGGGTTGGGTGGGACTGGCAGAAGGAGATTAGTCAGAGGTTAGCGTAGCAATCCAAGCGAGAGATGATGGAGGTTCAGCCCAGAGTGGGGCAGCCAAGGTCCTGGGGTGCAGCTCGGGGTGCAGGCTGAGCAGGTCCTCAGGCCCCTGGAGGAGTAGCAGGGTTGGAGGCTGGGTTTCAGTGGGCTGAGGGGTAAATGGGAGGTGGGAGATGGGGAGCAGTAGTGGGCAGAGTTGTTTGAGGGCTAGAAGCTAATGGAGCATGCACAAGTAGGGGGCATTTGGTGGCAAGAAGGAATGCGGATTGTTAAGCTGCAGCCTGTAAAGGTGTGAGGCCAGCACTGCGTGGGCCCATCTGCGCCTCCATCTTTCTTTCTGTGATGAGGATTCGCTGCAGCAAGACTTCTGGGGTTAGCCGTGATGATGACGATGCTGAGACAATGATGCTGATGTAAGATGGGGAAACTGCGCAGGTGCACAGACTGGAGAGAGCCACAGGAAAGGGAGTGGAGGAGGCAGGAGGAAAGCTGTGCTGGGGCCCGAGCCCTTGTAGGTCAAGGGCAGGAGCTGCTCACCCTCAGCACTCACAGCCTGGTCACCTGCTAGGTGTGAAGGGTGAGAAGCAGGGTGTGAGAAGGTTGCTGGGGAGAGCTGAGAGCCAGCCTCAGCTAGGGGCTGGGCTGGAGACCCCAGCTGCTCACGCCGTGGGGGAGGGGAACACAGAGGCGTGAGGTCCTTGAGTGGGGTACAATCACTCAAGCCCCTTGGTGGATTTAGTAGGGAGGGTGATTGGTCATTTTGAGGTTCACAGGGAGAGGCCAGTGGGAGTAGAAGACCTCCGGGGGCCACTCTCCCACCCTGCCAGCCAGTGGACTGGGGTGGGACAGATGGGCTGGGTAGCTGGACTGAGGGGTAGGCCCAGCCAACACTGAGGTGCTGCGGGGTAGGGATGGAAGGTTCTGCAGGAGAACCGGTGAATAGGAAGGGAAGCACCTGAGTGGCAGCCACCCAGACCCAGCACAGCAGGCCCTCCTCCGTCCTTCACTCAGACAGTTAGTTTCACTTTTGTTTTCCTGTCTCAGGCCTTCTGCCTGTGGAGCAGACACAGAAGTCCTGGCTGAAGGCCTGGGCTGGAGCCACCCGGGGGGCTTGGCAAGTGTAAGTGCGGGATATAGGCCACCCATGATGAAGGGGGTCGCTAGGGGCCTGGAGGGGTGGGGTGGGACTATGGACCACAACCCTACCCACCTGTCCCGCCCCCAGGGTTGTGATGGCAGAGGCGGAGGCAGAGGCGGAGGAGGAAGTTGGGGCGGCAGTGGAGCTCAGCGGGCTGCCCCCTGACATCTCCCATGAGCTGCTCACGCTCTACTTTGAGAACCGCCGACGCTCTGGGGGGGACCTGTGTTGAGCTGGCAGAGGCTTGGCCGTGGGGCGTACTCACCTTTCGAGAGCCTGCAGGTGAGGGGCTGATGGAAGGGGGCAGCCTGGGCCCCCACTAGCGTGGCCCTGACACCCACTCCACCCCTGCCCATAGATGCAGTGAGGGTCTTGGCCCAGGAGGAGCACGTGCTCCATGGTACTCGGCTGAGTCTGCGGCCAGCCCGCCATGTGCCCCTGCACGCCTCTTGCTCCAAGGACTGCCCCTGGCACTGCACCCCAGCGCCTAGAGAAGCACATCCAGGCCCTGCTGCATGCCATGGGGCACCTGGAACAGTCCTGCCACGTCCTGGCCAGTCCCCGGCCAGACCGGGCCCTGATTCAGCTGCCCAAGCCCCTCTCTGAGGCAGGTGAGAGGTGGGATGGTGGCAGATGTGCCTGCTAGGGGAGATGCCCTGTGCTGACTTGCACCCTCCCACAGAATTCTGTGTCCTGGAGGAGCAGGCCCGGGCCCTGAGCCTGGAGGGGGCTGAGTATCCCTGGCCCGGGTGCCGCAGGCCCGAGCGGTGCGTGTGGTGGGGGACGCCTCCCCTGCAGACCTGCTGCTGCTGGAGCTGTACCTGGAGAACGAGCGCCGCAGTGGTGGGGGGCCCCTGGTGGGCCTGCGCAGCTTGCCTGGGCACTTGGGCACTGTGGTCTCCTTCCAGCACTGGCAGGGTGAGTGGGGCTAGATGGACACAGCCCACCCCTCCCTACCGCTCCCTACCCTGATGGGCCTTATGTCCTTTCCCTTTCTCCAAGTGGCTGAACGGGTGCTGCAGCGGGACCACTGGCTGCAGGGCTCAGAGCTGAGCCTCGTCCCCCCTATGACTTCCTGGAACCTGAGGAGATTGCCGAGGACACAGTGGAGGGGACCACCTGGCTGAGTTGGGGTCTGGGGCTAGCGAGCATGCTCTCTCAGAGGCTGGAGGGCCAGAGAGAGCACTGAAGGGTGCAGGGACGGTGACACTGGGCTCTGAGGAGGCACCAGGGCAATCAGGAGCCTCTCCGAGGACAGGTCCCATAAGGTCTCTGGGGCAGGCCAGGCCAGTCAGCTCGAGGCCCCAGGGGTCTTCAGAACATGAAAGGCCCATGAGCCTGGGGACTGTGGGGTCTCCAGAGCAGGCAGAACTAGTAAGCCTGGGGCCTATGGGGTCCCCAGGCCCAACAGGCCAAGTGGGCCTAGTGGAGATTGCCATGGGTCTCCAGAGCAGGTGGCGTCAGTGAGACTGGGGCCTGTAGGATCACCGAGGCAGGAGGACCTGGTGGAGATGGTACTGTCAATGGAGCCAGGAGCAATGCGTTTCATACAAGTCTATCATGAGGACCTTCTTTCTGGACTGGGAGATGTTGCCGTCTTCCCACTTGAAGGATCAGATGTAACTGGCTTTCGGGTGAGTGACCCCTGAGGATGCCTCACCTTTGGTCCCCTTTCCCTCTGGGGGCTCTGGGTACCTTTCTTGTGCCCTAAACCTGCAAACTGCCCCCACCCACTATGGTCCTGCAGCTCTGTGGAGCCCTGGCCCCGTGCCAGGCGGCCAAGGAGTTCCTGCAAAGTCTGCTGGGCAGCATTAGCTGTCACGTGCTGAGCCTGAAGCATCCGGGCAGCGCCAGGTTCCTGCTGGGCCCAGAGGGGCAGCACCTTCTTCAGGAGCTGGAGGCTCAGTTCCAGTGTGTCTTTGGGACAGAGCGTCTGGTCGGGGCCACCCTGGACACAGACCCTGGAGAGGTAGAGACGGAGCCCCCCAGCCCCTCCCCTTTCTCACACCTCAGCCACAGGTGCTTCCTCCACCCCGCTCAGAGGCCTGGGAGGGGTGTGTACCCAGTGGGCACTGACATTTTCTCCCGACAGGTGGACGCCGCTGAGGCCCTCCAGGCCCTCCCTGGCCACTCCCACACCCTGTGGCCCCAGACAGTACAGGCAGTAACCAGGAGAACGTGAACCTGGGTAGGGCTCCTTGGGGACCCCCAGCACATCCTGTGGCCTTTCTCTACCTCACCCTCTGGCCTGCCCTGCGCTCCCACCTCTCTTATGATCATGCACCCCCTAAACCCTCTCTCCGTCTTTCACTCGTTCCCAGATTTGTCCTATCCTTTAGCCCCACCCTGGCCAGGCTTGACCCCTGACCCAGTGCCTCTCCCTGCCCTAGAGGAGGTCCGAGAGCTGCTGGCCACCATCGGGGAGGACTGGCTGCCCCTGGAGCCGAGGGAAGAGCAGCCAGAGGAGGAGGAGACTCCAGGGTGCTTGGAGGAGGAGCCTGCACCCGGGGCTAGAGAGGATCCCGTGGCCACCAGCACTGGGGCCCCAGGGAGGTTGGAGGAGGAGGCCGCACTGCAGCTGGCTCTCCACCGGTCACTGGAGCTGCAAGGCCAGGTGGCTGAGCAGGAGGAGGCTGCTGCGCTGCAGCGAGCCCTGGCCCTCTCCCTGCTGGAGCCACCTCCATTGGAGGCAGCAGAGCTCCTGGGTGGGGGGACTGGTGGCCAGGCCCAGCTGGTGGTGCATGTGGCCTTTGAGCAGGACATGGACGAGCTGGACCAAGCACTAGGGGCCGCCTTGGAGGTGCACCTCTGGGAGGAGACTGTGGGGTCCCAGGGCTACATGCTGCCCACAGAGCTGTGTGCCCGCCTGGAACAGTGCCACGGTGTGAGTGTTTCCTTTCAAGGTGACTGCACTGTCCTCCGTGGCTTTGGGGTCCAGCCCACCCGTGCAGCCCGCCACTTAGCAGCACTGCTGGCTGGCCCCCGGATCAGAGTTTGGCCCTTTTCTCGGCGGCTTCAGACCCCACCCGTGAGTCTGCACCCTTGACTGGGGGAGGATGGGGTGGGCCAGCTCTCAGGGACCAGCACCCCAGACATGGCCTGGACCCCTTCCTCCCCATGTGTCAGTGCCACAGCAGAGGCTGAAGGTGCCCTTGGGCAGGCTGGAGTGTCTGGCTGACAGCAGCAAGGAGTTCCAGGAGGTGGTTCAGGCCTTCTATGACACGCTGGATGCTGACCACAGCAGGATCCGCATTGTCCGGGTGAGTCCATGATCTGTCTTGCAAGCCTCATGGCCTCCTGGGCCCATGCACCATTTTCACCCTGCAGAGCCTGTGGCTTGTCACTCTTGCCTACGTCAGAGTCAGGTGGCCAGGAGCTGCCCAGTGTGGGGCAGGCTGGAAGCTGCCGGGGGGGGGGGGGGGGGGGGGGGGGGGTGCGGGCGGGG